TCAAATGAACTTTATAATTTAATTCTAAAATGAAATTCTAAAATAAAAATATTTATTGTGGCACTATTCTTTTTTTGATTTGGAAAATTTTTTTTATTTCAATATATTTTAAATTTAAAGTAAAAAAAATTATTTTTTATTTTAAAATCTTTTTCTTTAATTTTTTTCACGTGGCTTAATGATTTTTCATTCTTTACAAAAATATGAAAACTATCTAAAACTATTATTTGCTAAAAAATATTATTCAAAATGTATGTAATCTTCTTTTTAGATAAGAAACATTTATTGTTATTTTAATAACAATTGTAGTTTTCAAAGAATTTTTATCATTTTTTTTTGTATTTACACACATGTACGTAAAATCTATAATATTTTCGTGCGTCATTTGTTTAAAAAATTTTTGTAATTTTTTTCATGTGCACGTCAAGAAGAGTGTTTACTTGAATAACATTATTTTCTCTTTGGTATTATATTTTTGTTTCATTATTGTATTGAAGAATGCACAATTGATATTCGATAAATGAATCATTAAAGAATGTTTCTTTTTCTTTATTTTTTTTTTTAGAAAAATGTTGAAAGTAATTAATTTGTATTTAAATTTTCATTTACACGCTTTTAGTGAGTGTTCCGAGTGAATCACTTAAATAGCACTTTAACTTGAAAGATAGTTTCTTTTGTTTTTTTTAATAGTGAAAAAAACCTGATAGTTTTCTAATTTACTAAATAGAATTTGTACTTTTTTGGAAATTTAGTTTTAATATTCGTTTATTTCCGCATGTAGCGAAGAGTATATAAAATTTATTTTTTTTATGTTACCTCTAGTGATGATTATCATTTCTATTACAATATTAATTCTATTATGTTAATTTAATTTTTTAATTATTAATTTATTTTTGTTCTTTTTTTTGTGAATTATTATACTAAAAGTAGATTTAGTTAACACTTTTGCTAATTTGTACTAAAATTGTACAATTTAATTTTTTTATTGATTTCAAGTTTATTATTAGTTAATTTTTTTTATTTACAAGTTTTTTATTAGTTAGTGTTTTGTTAGTTCTGAGTTTCTTGTTAGTTAGTTTTTTATTAATTCCGAGTTTCTTGTTAGTTTTTTATTAATTCCAGAATTTTTATTACCTCCAACTCCAAGTTTTTTATTAATTAGTTTTTTTGTTAGTTTGCTATTTTTAGTTCCAAATTTCTTATTATAGTTAGTTTTTTATTATTTTCGAGTTTTTTATTAGTTCAAAGTTTTTTTAGTTACTTTTTTATTAGTGATTTTTTAATAGTTAGTTTTTTTAGTTGCAGATTTCTTAGTAGTTAGTATTTTTTACTTCCAAGTTTGTTATTAGTTAATTTTTTTAGTTCAACATTTTTTATTAGTTAGTTATTTATTAGTTTCAACTTTTTAATTAGTTAGTTTTTATTAGTTACAAGGTTTTTTATTAGTTAGTTACTTATCAGTTCAAATTGTTATTTTAATTAGTATTTGTAGTTTCAGGTTTTTTAGTAGTTAATATTTCTTAGTTCCAAATTTTTAATTTTTAGTTCCCAATTATTTATTAGTTAGTTTTCTTATTAGTCAGCTTTTTATTAGTTGCAACTCTTTAATTAGTTATTAATATATTATTTAATTATTATTTAATTTGTTAGTTACACATTTTTTATTAGTTTTCTACAATTCGAAGAGTACTTAGTGAACTTTTAGTTATTTTTTTTTGTCATATTATAAATTATTAGCTAATTTTTTTATGATAAGAGACAACTGACGCTACGGTGTACGGTAAAATTTTTTGTATAATTAAATTATAAATATTTGATAGGCGGATAAATATTACAGAGTTTTGTCCTGCAATTAACTGAAAGTGCATTTTGCACTTCCCTTCATTGACAATAGAAGTTGAAAACGTATATGCCGATGATGAAAATTACGGTCGTGAGGAGAGGCTGATAAAAACAATCTGATATCGCGTTCTATCGAGAAATTATAGTTTTTCTCAACTATACCCCGCATCCGGTTTCGTGCACATGAAATGTTTTTTTTATATCTATATACTGATGATGCATTTCCATTGTCCAGAAGTGAGAACTATTATAAATACTCTTAAAGACATTTCATTTACAAACATTGTAATGCAGCCAATTAGCAGAAAAAAAATTATACATTTGTATTTTAATTGAAGAAATTAATTATAATTATTTATACATATTATTTATCTTTGTCTCTTTATGTTCTTTTAACTATATTATATAAGTGTTGGAAACAAATTTAATTAAAATATTAATTATAATAATTTAAAATTAATTAAAAGTGGTTTTTGATTTTTAGAATATACAAGTTAGAGATTCGACTATAAAAATATAAAACAACTTTTATCAAATTATCACCATCAAAAATTTTAATTAGAGATTCGATATTTTTTTTGCTATTTTCCCCTTTTTTATCTCCGGAAATTAATAAAATTCACTAAAATACCTAAAATTATGCATATTATCCCTTTCTTTAAGAGAAAAACTTAAAAATTTTCCTTTTCTGTATTAGCAAAGTTGAAGAAACAATTTTTTTTTTTTGCAAAGTGTTTGGAAAAATTTTAGTTTATTGATTGTAGTCTAATTTATATTGTCGCATTGATTTTTTTTCGTAATTTCTGCCTATAGACGGTAGAAACATTGTTTTTATTTAATTTGAAAAATCCCCTTTTTTAATCTGAATACTCTTTTTAAAAATTGCATTAAACAATAAAAAGACTAATTTTTTCGAATTGTTTAATTTTTATATTTATTAATTTAGAATTTCATAAATACCATTTTTTATTCATTCATTCATTTTTTTGTAGATTGCAATTTTATACAGTAATATATAAAATAAAATTTAACGAACAATTATTCTAATTGGATGAATGATAAGAAGCAATTAAATGGGAATATAATTGAGGATTAGGATATAATTTAAAATAATTTTGTTGTTGTCTCGTGAATTTTATTTTTTTTCCTGGAAACGTTTTTTTTTCAAGAAATTATCATTATAAGTTAAATTATTCTAAAAGGAGTATGTATATGTATAAAATTATTTTACACACTCAATGATGTTTTACACTTAAATGACATTAATTTTGAAAATTAATAAAATTACTTAGAAAATAAAAAAAAAGAAAAAAAAAATACAATTTGCCTTGTCAAATAAATGGAATTTAGAGGGAAATAAAAAATTTTTTTTTCAAAATATGAGGAATTTCTTTATGAGTCATAACAGTCTGTGGATAAGGTCAGCAAAGTATGGTGTGGAATATCGTACTTTCGAAATCTATATGCTAAGATATCTGATTAGTAAACCGGACTAGATTGTTTCGATAGATCGATTGTGTAAATACAAGTGAAGTGAAAAAAAAGAAATTTTTTTTAGTGTAGATCGCTGCAAAAATTAATTTAATACTTAAAATTTTTAATTTAAGGAAAGTTTTGCAAATTTAAGGATTATTTCGTAAATAATAAAATTTTTACAGGAATTCAATTATTTACAAATTTTTTATAAATTTCTTCACAGGAATTTTATTATTTAAAATTTTTGATAAATTTTTTCACAAAATTCAATTATTTCCATAAATAATAAAATTTTTTACAGGGTATCAATTATTTACAAATTTTTTAAAATTTTTTCGCAAAAATTCAATTATTTTATAAATAATAAATTTTTTACATGGATTCAATTATTTTTATAAATAATAAAACTCATCGCAGAATTTCAATTATTTTTAATTTGAATTCCTCGAAAAATGTAATTATTCTTAAAAATTTTATTAAAATTCTGCAAAGGAAATCATTTAATTCAAAAAAATGTGATAAAATTATTCGTAAGAATTCAATTTTAAGAAACATTTAATTATTCGATAAATTATTTAGTTTTGTATTTAAGTACTTGAGTGCTCGTAGAATTTTCTAATAAAAATAGATTTAAAGATGAATTTCAGTTGAAATTTTAGATAATAATTCAATATTAAAACCATTGTAGTATTATGAATTTTTAGAAATAATTGAATTTTGAATTTAAAATTTTAGAAAATCTGAATGTTTCATAATTTTAAATACCTAATTATTCTGTAGAACAAATTTTTTTCATAAATAAAAATATTATTATTATTATTATTATTATCTTCATGAATATTAAATTTTTTTCCAGGAATTCTATTATTTTTCTAGTTAATAAAATAATTCAATTTTCGTAGAATTTTCTAATAAAAATTGATTTAAAGATGAATTTCAGTTGAAATTTTAGATAATAATTCAATGTTAAAACCATTTTATTATAAATTTTTAGAAATAATTGAATTTTGAAATTAAAATCTTAGAAAATCTGAATATTTCATAATTTAATAATAATTCTTTAGAACAAATTTTTTTCATAAATAACAATATTATTATTATCTTCATTAATATTATAATTTTTTCCTGGAATATATTATTTTTCTAAATAATGAAATAATTGAATTCTCCTAGAATTTTCTAATAAAAATTGATTTCAAAATAAACTCAAAGAACTTTTCGAAAAATTATTAAAAATTAATTGATTTAAAGAAGAATTTTAGTTAAAAATTCTAGAAAATAATAATTGAAATGATACTAATTTTGAGTATCTAATTATTTTTTAGAGTGAATCAGAATATTCTTTAGGGCCAGGGAAAAATTTTGTCTGAAAATCAGGAAAAAGTCAGAGGGAGAAACAAAATTAAATTTTTGTTAAAAGTTTTTTTTACATGTAGTGGAATTTATTTTCTTTTAATTGCTCCTAGTGGAAGGCAATCTGATATACACCAGCGTCAACAATCGTTTGTTTATGAATTTCTTATTAAATTTTCGCAAACTCTTGAAAGCAATAAATTTTTCGAAAGATAAATAATCATCATCTTTATTTATTATATTTGTAGTTATTTTTTTTTTATTTTTTTTCGAATCAATTTCATCAATTTCTATCGAGTTGGTAAAGTAGTTATTCAAGATGGCGCCACAAATTGACAAATAAAGTACACGTGCTTTTGCTTGACATTTGTACTTTTTCATGTTATAAATAGTTTGCAAAAAATATTCCCATTTTCCTTAAGCTAAAAATAGTTAATTTTAGACAAGTGAAAAAAAATTGTTCCCAAAGTGAATTTTCCATTGAGAAAAGTAAAAAATATTTTTTACTTTATGAATTCAGTTCATTCAGGTTTTAAACATCAGTTATATTATCGCACATAACCTGAAAATTTTGCGATAAAGTACAATAACAAACAACAAGCAGTAAAGTATGTTAAACAAGGAATTTCTGCGTGCAGCGCAAAAAGGCGATTTAGCAAAATTTATTGAATTGAAAAATAATATTAATGATTGGTCGATAATTCGACATGGTCCCTCGGGCGATAGTCCATTGCATATTGCAGCACGAGAGGGTCACTTGGAAATTGTACGATTTTTGTGCGAGAATTGGATGGAGCAAAAATGCACCATTGAAGTTGTTAATCTTGAGATGAAAACTCCTTTACATGAGGCTGCACAATTTTCGAGAACAACTGTCGTTGATTATTTTGTTGAGAAAGGTTTTAATTTTTAATATTTTATTTCTACTGCTTAAATATGGTTGAAAAAAAATTTTTTAATTTTGGTAATTATTGGTTTTTTGTGAAAATTAAAATGGGTTTTTTTTTACATTAGAATTAGTGTTGTCTGATCGTAACTGAGTTGTACTACTGAATTTTATAAATTATTTTTTTGATACTTAAAAGAAAATTGTGAAAATCGTTTGTCTGACTCGAATTTTCTGTTACTACTGGGAGAGAAAAGTGTAGAGAAAATATGTCTGATGAAAATTTGTTTTTACTACTGATAGTAACATTACAGGGATTTTTATTTCAATGACTGGAATTCGCTTTTACTATACTTATACAAAAAATAATTTGTCTGACTGAAATTGACTTTTTCTACTAGTATATGAACTAGGAAAATAATTTAATACTTTTTGTCTGACTAAATCCATTTTTACTACTTTTCAATTTTTTTAATACTAATTATTACTGAACATTGGTTTCTTTCAAGGAAAATTAGAGTGTTGTCTGATCGTAATTGAGTTGTACTACTGATAATATTTAAAGATTTGTCATAGATTTTTTTTTTTTTTTTGCTACTTTATGGAAAATTGTGAAAATCGTTTGTCTGACTCGAATTTTCTGTTACTAATGAGGAGAGAAAAGTGTAGAGAAATGTGGTCTGACTGAAAATGTTTTTACTACTGTTTTTACATTTAGAGAAGTTTCGAAAATTTTTCTTATTTTCACTAGTTTTTCTTACTTTTATTGTATGTCTGACTAATAAGGGTTTTACTACTTACGCTATATCTAATATTCAATAATATTTTCTTGAAAAGCTCCGTCTGACTGAAAATGATTTTTACTACTGATTTGACAAATTATTTACAAATTTAGTGATTTTATAATTAAAAAACATCATACTGACTTTAATTAATTTATTTAATTATTTATTTGCAACAGAAGATCCCACTTTTAGTATAAATTTAGAAAAAATTATTAAAATTGGTAAAATTAGTAAATTCATTAAAATGTCTGACTATAACTGACTGCTACTACTTTGATTAATACTTGAATAAAATTAAAGACATTTTGACCTTTAAATACTTACTTTTAATAATTAATATTAAAAAATTTTCTAGAATTAAAAACTTTTTCTCTGTCTGACTCTAACTCACTTTTACTACTAACCAAATAATTTCTCTAAAAATCTTCATTGGGAAATAATTTTTATAACTGTAATTTTTCCATAATTCTAAATTCCACATCATTGTAATCTCACTGTTTAATTTTACAATTAAACTAATTTGAAAGAATGTCTGACTCAAAAATGACCTTTACTACTGTTAATTGAATAAAATTCTTTTTCTAAAAAAATCTTATTTCTGCCAAAAATAATTTAATTCAAAACAAATTTAAGTAGCAAATCAAGTGAAGTATGGACAATTTCTAGAATTCATAAACATTTTTACATAATAAACATCCTTTTTTAGTGATTTTTTAGACAAAGATAAAAAACTAAAAAATTAATTTAATTATTAAAAAAATTTTAAATTAACAGAAAAAAGTTTTTGCTGTGATAAAATTTTGTATCTGAAATAATTTCCCTAGGGGCAAATGTGAATGCTTTAAAGCGAGCCGACTGGACTCCTCTAATGTTGGCGACAACAAAAACAGGAGTCGATGCTTATCACTGCGTCAGAGCATTATTAAATGCAAATGCAAATTTATCAATTAAAAATAAAGATGGATGGACAGCCTTCCATGTAGCTTGTCGTTCGGCCGATATTGATATAGTAAATCTTCTATTAAAATACTCATCAAAATGTATTGAGGCCAGAAGCAACAATGGACGAAATGCTTTACATATTGCTGGTAATTTCAAAATTATCATCTCAAATTTGTATAATTAATTTTCATAATTTATTATTTTTTAATTCTATAATTTTTTTATTATTATATATTTATAACTATTTTTATTGGTAAAATGTCACAGTTTTTCTAAGGATATCAAATTTGAGACAAAAAATGTATCAAAACTTTGCCATTGATGCGATGCAACGTTTTTTTTGTATCAATTTGATTTTTTTAGAAAAACTATGGTTACTTTTAGGAAATTAATATAATTATTGGTAATTATTATAATTTATTTTAATAATTATAAGAAAATCACTTTTTATTTTTTAATAAAAAATATTATAATAGTAGATGAGTAAATAAACAATGAATAAATAAATTAATATTATATAAGGTATTTTATACCAGCAAATATATTATAAATACAATATTGAATATTGAATAAATAAATAAAAATAAATAAATAAATATTATAGTATAAAACAATGAAAATTTCAGCATTTCATGGATGCGAAAATATAATTGAACTGCTAGTATCGAGAGATGGGGATTTATTAAATGCCCCCGATTCATCGGGTTCAACATCATTGCATGAATCGATAAAAAGTAAAAATTTGAATGTAATGAAACTATTGATAAAACTTGGCGCCGATATTAATGCCATTGACGATGTTAGACAAAATATTCTTCATATTGCCGCTGCCGTTGGAAATATCGATATTGTTCAATACATTTTGGAATGTAACATGATCGACGTTCAATCAGAGGCTCTGTTTCATATTACGCCATTAGTTGCTGCACAACGGAACGCTCAATACGATATTGTTGAATTATTGTTAAAATATTCCTCTGATAATAAACGTGAAGATGTATAGTGTTTAACTAATATCAATTACTTATTGGCAAAAAAAAAAAAAAAAATGAGAGCAGGAGAAAGAAGAAGAAAAGAAAATGAAAGAAAAAAAACAATTTAATTATATATTGAAAATATTTATTTTTCTGATAAATATATTTATATTTCTAAAAAGAATTTTTATTAAAAAATATATAAATTTATCTCTGCGTTTTCGTAACAAACAAAAAGAGAAATAGAATAGATTTTTTTTGTATTCGAATTTATTGTGGTAAATTGGTTGTTTTTAACGAAGTGTGGGAAATTTAATTGTTTGTTTCTAACGAATAGGGAAAATTTTAATTTTTCGATATTTCTGTTAGAATTGTATAAAAAAGTATTTTCTTTCAATTTTTATTTAAAATTATAATTATTTATTTATTTATTTAAATTTATTTTGTAGTATTACTATTTTTGAAGAGTTGTTATTATTTAATTGACATTTACTTTTTAAATAATTTTGAATTCGGTGACAAATTATTCGTGCTTGAAAAAACTAGGAAAATAAATTCTTCTGGAATTAATGAAAATTGAAGTTTATCTTTGAAAATTCGAGTAGTATTTAATATTAAATTAAACTCATTTAAATAGAATTTAGTGTAATTAATTTAATTAGAATTGACACGAATAGTATTTAGACTTGAATTAAATTAAACAATTTTGATTAGAAAGGAATTAAATTCTTTTGGAAATAAAGAAAATTGAAGTTAGTTAAAAAATCTAGTAGTTTTTAATATTGAATTAACATAAATAGAATAGAATTGAACTAATTTAGTTATAATTGAAATGAATAATTTTATTTTGAATAGAATTGAATTTATTTCATAAAAGTTAAATTTATTTGAACTCAAGTAAATGATTGAAAATGAAAATTAATTTGAATGGATTTAATTTAATGAAAATTAAATTTATTTCAATTTAATTACTATTTTAAATGTTTACAATTTAATAATCAATTTAGTGTCAAATTATTCGTGTCTAAAAAAATTAGGAAATTAAATTCTTTTAAAAATAAGGGAAATTGAAATTCTTTAAAAAATCTTCCAGTAATTAATGTCAAATTAAACTTAATTAATTTAATTAAAATGAAATTTATTTCAATACAAGTAAAATGAAATTTATTTTAATTTAATTGCAGTTTTAAATATTTAAATTTAATCAATTAATTTATAGTCAAATAATTTTTCTTTTAAAATAATAAGTTCTTTCGGAAATATGAAAAATTGAAATTTTTTTAATTTTCTGACATTAAATATCAAATTGAATTAAATTAAATTATTTTTATTAAAATTAATTAAATTGAATTAATTTAATTAGACCAGACTTGAACTAATTGAGTTAGAAATTACTTGAATAATTTTATTTAGAATTGAATTATTTTAGTTAAAATTAAATTTTTTTACAATTTAATAAAAATCAAATTTATTATATTATAACCAAAATTAAATTTCTATTGACTTAATTATAAAATTTAAGAAATTTGAAAATTTTGTTAATAATTATTTTGAATTTTTTATTTATATTACTAAATTGAATTAAATTAATTTAAAGTTTTTAAATATCTGAAATTTAGTAAATGAGTAAAAAAATATTTTTAAGAATAAAAAACTAAAATTAAAAATTCGTCAATCTGGAAAATACTTAAACTAATTTAAAAAAAATTGTTTAAACAAAAAAAAAAATGCAGTGAGGATTGTTAAATAAAATAAGAAATGCAGTGTTTCTTCAGAGATTGGTACACATATATTTATTCTGTTTTTGTTTCAGACAGTCTTAGAGAAGCATATAAAATGAATAAACAATATTATTACAAGTCTGAATTTTTTTACAATTCTTGCATCGATTTTTCTTTTCAGGGTGCAAGTAGGTAAAGTAAAAAAGAAAAAAAAAATAGTAACTCAACAAATCCAGAGTTCCACTTGTTCATAGTTACAAGTTTCAAAACAGAAATTCTCTTCTTTTTTAATGATGAAAAATTGTTTTTCTTTTTTGACAATAATAATAATAAACTAAAGAAAACGAAAACAATTGACTGGGTAAAAAAAATAATTTGAAAAATTGAGAATAAACTAAAGGAAAACGAATGACAACAATTACTTTTTTGTTCTTTTGTAGGAAATTTCTTTTTTTTCTATAAAAAGAGCTAATTGTAAAACATGCATTGTTGTATTCACGAGAGAAAAATTACCGTTAATATCTCATTTTTGAAAGTTTTTATTTATTTATTTTTTTTTTTTGGAGGACTTTGTAAAAAAACGAAGAAAGAAAAATGAGAATTAACGATAATTTTTCCTCGAAGACAAAAGAGGGAAAAAAAACAGTAGCAATGTACATTTGTCTCTCTGGATTCAATGCGGCGTATATCGATTAAAAATTACGTTCCGGCTCCGTTAGACGGAAATTGCATTTTGGTGACAAAAATTTCTTTCGCCGTCGATCCTACTCTAGTGGAATCATTTATTTTTTTTTGTATTTTTTTTTATTTATAAATATCCAATGATTATTTGGGACTTTTTTTTTTAGTTATTTTTATCTCATTGCTTAATTATTTACATACCAATTACATTTCGGTACTTAAATATTAACTTTACGCGTCAATTGTTACGTTAACTTTTTTTTTTGTTGTTTTTTCATCATTCATACTTACATTACAAGTATTCAACCGTTTATGTACAATATTTACAGAGCTCGAAGAAACACTTCGATAATAACGCGGTACATTTAAATTAAAACGCAACGCAATTCGACATAATTGGTTCCCTAATATTTATATGCACAGAAAGATCATTCAATGAGTCTTAATTTTTTATATTTTAATTATTTTGTCTTTTTTGATAAACAATAATATAGTCGATATTTTTTGTCTTTTTTTTTAATAAAACAATATTTTCAACAGAATTATTACATTCTCCCTTGAAAGTATTATTGCAAACAAAAAATTAACATTTGACAAAAAAAAAAAAATTCTACCTAATCTAGAAAAAATTTTTAAATAAGAAACCTATTTTTTACATAATGTTTTACAATTTTACATAATTAAAAATTTATCTAATAAAAATTAAAAAAAGAAGGAAAATATTTTTTGGAAAGTTATTTTACAAAAGAATTTTGTTAGTTATTTTACAAAAGGAATTTAGAAAATTATTTTACAAGAAATAAACTAGAGAAAGTTATTTTACAAAAGAGATTTTGCCAAAGAAAAAAAAAGAGAAATTTTTAGATCTGATTATAATATAAATTACAATTCTGCGATAGGTGCTTATAATTCAGTGCAAAAACACTTTTTTTTTAGTTTTTTGGGAACACTTAACATTTAACACAGTTGTACGTCTAAATGCAGTTTATTTTTTAATATATTATATTATCAGAGCAAAAGTTTTTTTTAGTGGATAAACGATTAATTTTTTTTTTGAGAAATAAATAAAGCATCGATAATGAATCTCGAGAATATTAATTTTGTCTCGAGAAATTCGAGAAAAATTTCTTTCTAATAATTGAAAAAAAAACTTTCTTTTTTGATCAAATGTTCTCGAGCGATTTAGCGATGCGTACAACGAGCATTTGTTATTTTTCTTTTTTGTTTTTTTTTTATACATATTAAAAACATTTTTTCTTTTAAGGAGTGTTAAAAAAATAAATATAGATACATTTTTTAAAAATTAGTAAAAAACAGTGACTATGTTTTGCCATTTCCTCGTCGCTTGGAAAATCGCTTTATTTTCTTACACATCTCTCCCACGCACGCTTGCGTCATTAGTACACGGTTTACATACATATACATACATATATATTTTATTTATAAAAATAACATTCTGGGACCAAAACATAACATTCCAATTGGAAATGAAAAAAATATACAAAAAAAAACGTGTGGCGGTCGTGTCAATCGATAAAAAAATTGTGCTGATCGAAAATCGTATACAAAAAAATGGGAAAATTCGAAAAAAAAATATTTTATCTCATTGTGATTAAATAATAATGATTTATTATTACTTTTCATATTTTTACTTAATTAATTACTAACTATTAATTAATAAATTTATTCATTTTACTAATTATTAATTAATAATTTTGTTAATATTATTAATTATTAATTTTTAATTAATAATTTTAATTTTTTTGTTATCTAAATATTTTACAAATATTCAAATTTGAATTTGAATATCAAGAGAATTTTGTTCTCAATATTTATCACGTAGACATTTTTTTTAAAGAATTTTTGTGCAAAAATAAGATAAAAGAAATATAATAATTTTTGCTTTCAATAAATAAAATAGAAGTACAATTTACAAAGTTCTTAGATTTCCGCACAATAAATCCGTCTACGTGCTTTTTTTTCTTTTTTTAGTAAAAACATTATCACAATAAATGTCAATTTTTTTTCGAAAATTTTTTTATCGATCGAAAATAACCTGATGATTGAAACCGAGTTTCAAAAAAAGTCAAGTTCCGTTATTTTTTTTCCGATGTCTTGAAAAAATAAAAAAAAATCATTGTTTTGAAAGTAAAAGTAAAAATACGAATTAAATTGAAAAAGAAAAATTTTTTTAATGTTGAAAAAATATTTTTTTGGAATAAAAAAACAATTTTTGGGACAATAAAAATTTGCTTCTAAATAAAAATTTAATGCGATAATAATTCGCTTTTAAATAAAAATTTAATGCAAGAAAAATTTGCTTCTAAATAAAAATTTGTTTTAAAATAAAAATATAAATTCATTAAATAAAAATATGTTTTCAATAATTTTTTCAATAAAAGAAAAAAATTTCTTTCTCTTCTTTTTCTTCTTTTTCTACTCAAAAAGGAAAAATTTCTTTCTTTGCTTCTTCTACTCAAAAGAGAAAAAATTTCTTTTCTTTTTTTCTTTTTGTATTGAGAAAAAATTCCTTTTTCCACTGAGAAAAAATTTCTTTTTTTGAAAAAATTGTCGCCTCGAAGGAAAATAGCGCAAGTTGACTGAAAATCTTGAAAACGTTTCTTGGGATTAATCGTTATTATAATATTATGTAAAATAACTAAAATTGAAGGGTGGAATTAAGAAAAAAAAAATGTCCGATTGACAATCCTTTGAGCTATAGAAAAATGTCAATGGGTCTCTCGCTTTATACAGTCACAGTTTATTTATTTACTTTTTTTTAAACGATTGTACGGCGCACTTGCGTTTAAAAAATTCATTCATCTCAACCCGAAAAATTCGCCTCGGAAATTAAAAAGAAAGATGAAGATTTTTATTTTCTTTTTTTTTCGTGCGACTGGCAATCTTATAAGTTAATGATATTTCCACGATGAAATCCGTGATTTGAAATGCGATCAATTCCTAATGCACACGTTTCAATCGGTTTCTTCGACAAGATACATGCGCATGTATCTTATACTCGAGAAAAAGGAGGTCCGCTAGTTATGATACAGGACTCGATATTTATATAATATATATATAAATATATATATATATACTTAATCACAGTTTCACTCATTCGTTCAAGACATACAAATCGTTTTCGCGACAAAAAAAAATAATAATATTAAAAAAAACAAAAGAATAAAAAAAAAAACACTTCCGACTAACATTACGCACATTACTTTTATCACACGCAAAATGCCATCGTTCAGATGTGACAATTTTTTTTTCAGGAATATTTCATTTTTTGAGGGAAAATAATTATTTTCAAATAAAATTTTACTTTTGCTTATTTAAAAAAAATCGTAATTTTTCACATTCGAATTATTTCGAATCAAGTTTAATTTTTTTAATTCGAATAAAATTTATAATTCTCATTTCGATTAAATTTTTTATTTTTCATATTCGAATAAATTTTTTATTTTTAATATTCGAAGAAAATTTTAATTTTTTATATTAAAGCAAAATCTCAATTTTCTCTTAAATGAACTTTTATTTTCATTTCATTTGATTATATTTTAATTTCAATTTTTTCACGTTTCATTAAAATTCAATCTTTTAACTATCACTGTAAATTTTTTTTCTTTCACTCATTAAATAATGAAGACAAAAAGTAAATAAAAAGTTTTCTCTACTAAATAAATAAATTTTTGAATTCTATAATAATTTAGAATTAATTAATTAATTTATTAATTTAGAAATTTATTTTTATTTTAATTAATTAATTTATTAATTGAAAAATTTAGAAATTTATTTTATTTCTACTCATTTTTATAATAAAAAATAATAATTTTAAAATAATAATTAAAAATAGTTATTAGAATTTTTTTCCATCAAAGTGTGAAATAATCTTCATGAAATTGTCCTCGTAGTCTTGTTGAAAACACAACGATAAAATTGACTTTTACATATACAAAAATAATCAAATTTAAAGAAACGAAACTATTTGTCTTTCAAATGTTTACTTTCTTTTTTACACGAGAAAAATAATTTTTGAATTTTTTATAGGAAAAACTACACGAGAGTCATTTAAAATTTTCTATATAAAAAGGTAAAATTTACCTAAAAAACTGTCGTGTAATTTTTGTTTTTTAAAGCGCCTGAATTTTTCAGGATTTTTTGAAAAAATAGTTTCAAATAATATTTTTCTTCGTGCATTGTTTAAAAAATTTATTTTGCATATGGTTGAATTTTATTTTTACTATATTTCGTTCATTTTTTTTTTTATTTCGATTATATATTTTTATTTTCTTGTTACGATTATATTTTTTTGTTTCGTTTTTTTTTTTATCAACTTCGTTCGTATTTTACTTTTTATTATTTCTCGCTCTTTTTTATTTCGCTCACTTTTTAATTTTGTTTATTATAAATAATTTTATTATTTATTCGCGTAGCTTTATTATTTTGCTCACTTTTTTCCCCTTCTTTAACAAGTAAATTGGTGAGTGAAAATGAAAAATTCTTTGTACAGAAATAATAAATTGGACTCACCTGAAAGATTTTTTGTTGTTTCAAAAAAAAAGAAAAAGAAATAGATATGGAAGTGTTTTCAACAAGAGAAACTGAACGATAAAGCAAATCAGTCGGCGTAATACCTCATTTCGACCCGCGAAAATATAAACGCCTATCTCTCCCTCCTATGGTCAGTTTAATATGGCTAAGATTTTCGGCAAATCGTCTGTCTATAGCTTTTTTAATTTATTTTTTTTTAAATCAATTTTTTTGAGCTATACTCTTGGCGGCTTTCTGTGGGGAATTCTCCAAAAAAAAAGAAAGAGAGAAAAAAAATGCAAAAAAGACGCACTAATTGCCTTTTTCTCGCTGTTAATTTTCATTTTGAATTTCAGTTCTTCTGAATTTTTTTTTCTAGAATTTGAAAGAATTGGAACTTTATTCTTGCGAATAAAGTTCGAATTCAAAATTAAAAATGGAACTTTATTCTTGCGAATAAAGTTCCAATTTGAATTTTGAATTCTTTTGGACTGTTTTCTGGAATTTAGAAATTATTTTGTACAATTTTGAAGAATTAGAAATTTAGAAATTATTTTATCGAATTTTGAAGAATTAGAAATTCTTGGAAATTTAGAAAATATTAAACTTCCTCTGAAGAATTTTAAGGAAATATTTTCTAAAATTATAAGAAGAATTAGAAATTTAGAAAATATTTAATAAATTGTCAAGCGAGTAGATTTTTATTTCAATTTTCGATTCTTTTGGAATTTTTTCTCGAATTTAGAAAAATTTTAAATTTTATGAATTCTTGAATAAAATGTCTTGTGAGGAAAGTTTTATTTTGAATTTCAAAGAGATTGAAAAAAATTCTTTGCGAGTTAATTTTTATTTTAATATTCAATTCTTTTGAATTAAATCTGAGAATTCAGAGGAATTAGAAACTTAGAACTTTGCAAATTTAGAAAATATTCAATAAAATATCTTGTAAGGAAATTGCCGTTTTGAATTTTAATTTTTCTTATAGTTTTTTGAGAATTCAGAAGAATTAGAAATTTTTAACTTTGGAATTTTAGGAAATTTCGAATAGATTGTGTTGTGAATAAATTTCTAGTTTGAATTTCGTTTCTTTTTGTTTCAAGAATTTGGAAGAATCAGTTTTCGAATTATTTCTTGGAATTTGCAAGAATTAGAAGTTTAAAAATTCCGAATTTGGAAAATAAATAAAATTCCTTGAGAGAACATTTTTATTTTTAATTTTATCCTTCTTCGGAATTAATTTCCAGAATTTGAGGGAATTAAAAATTGAAATATTTGGAAAATTACAAATTTTTAAATTTAGAAATTATTAAATAAAAATTTATTGTTATTAAATTTCAATTTTGATTTTCAATTTTTTTGAGTTGTTTTCTAGAATTTAGAAGAATTAGAAATTTTAGTAAATTTTTGAATAGAATGTCTTGCTATATAAATTTCCATTTCGAATTTCAATTCTTCCGAATTATTTCCTAGAATTTATAAGAATTAGAATTTTAAAAATTCCGAATTTGGAAAATAAATAAAATTCGTTGCGAGTAAATTTCTATTTTTAATTTCATCCTTATTTAGAATTATTTTCCAGAATTTAAGGGAATTAAAAATTGAAACATTTGGAAATTTAGAAATTTTCAAAAATTATACCGAATAAAGTTTCTTGTTAGTAAATTTCCATTTTGATTTTCAATTTTTCTGAGTTGTTACCTAGAATTTAGAAGAATTAGAAGTTTTAAACTTTGGAAGTTTAGTAAATTTTTGAATAGAATGTCTTGTGAGTAAATTTTCATTACGAATTTCAATTCTTCTGAATTATTTCCTAGAATTTACAAGAATTAGGATTTTAAAAGTTCCGAATTTGGAAAATAAATAAAATTTGTTGCGAGTAAATTGCCATTTTTAATTTCATCCTACTTTGGAATTATTTTCGAGAATTTAAGGGAATTAAAAATTGAAATATTTGGAAAATTGGAATTTTTCAAATTCAAAAAATAACGAATAAAATTTCTTGTTATGTAAATTTCCATTTCAAATTTCAATTCTTCCGAATTATTTCCTAGATTTTACAAGAATTAGAATTTTAAAAATTCCGAATTTGCAAAATAAATAAAATTACTTGAGAGTAAATTTTTATTTTTAATTTCTTCCTTCTTTGAAAGGAAGAATTTTTAATTTCGAAGCATTTCGAATTTCCAGAATTGAGAAGAATTAGAATTTTTTAAATTCCGAATTTGGAAATTAAATAAAATTCCTTTCGAGTAAATTTTTATTTTCTTCCTTCTTTGAAAGAAAGAATTTTTAATTTCGAAGCACTTTGAATTTTGAGAATTGAGAAGAATTGGAAATAGAGAAAAGAATAAATTATCCAGCGAGTTGTATTTTTTCTGGAGAATTATTTCGCCCCACATTTTGTTTAGCGAGTGAAATCCGAAAATTCAGCAAATAGAATAGAAATATTTTTTTTTGTTTTTCACAGGAGAATTATTATTTTGTTAGTGATTATTTCCCTAGCATTCGCTGTAGGATGGTGGGGGAATTCCGCGTCCCGTGTACATGTCGGTTTGCGGTTGTAGATGACAGACGACAGTGTGCCCATCGAGGACAGCGACTGTCCTCGTGTGATCTTGGGGGGAGATTCCATAGGTACCGGGAAGTCGGGGTAATTCGCCCAATTCGTACCTCGCTTGCTGTCGACGCAATTTCTCCCAGCATGCATTTAACGATCTCTCCTGAGCTGGACTGTACTCGGATGGATCGTAATGAGCGACATTTCGATCGCCGCCACCACCACCACCACCAGTCTGACCGTAATGATTCAAATTATTACGATCATTTGCCGGCGAATAGGGAATCAATGGCCTATGATCGCCGTAGCTGCGCGACGATTGCCGACTCATGTCACTCTGCCGTCTGCCGTCCTCGTCGGACATGTCGGACACTTGAATTTCACCGCCGCGTTCAATTTCCTCGTAGACGGGATCGTCCTCGCCCACAAGTCCTCGTGCGAGCAGCATATGCTGGCCGTGATGATGGCCATGAATTTGATGATGACCACCACCGCCGCCACCACCACCACCACCACCGCCGCCGCCGCGTCCATCGCGAATTTCCGTGTATGTGTGATTGTAGGGGGATGCTGCTCGTCGTCCGGTTGTTCGGTTGCCGAGTTCATCGCCAGCTGTTCGTCGGTCGCGCGTTCTTCCTGAGTAGCCCTGCAAGGTCATCGAGCCGTGAGTTCGTGGCGATTCCTCTTGCTCCGATCCTCCATGTCCAGAGTCACGGGAGTATGATTTAAAAGAAATGTTCTGTTGGCACAGAAAAATAATTTGATGGTTAAATATTTTTTTCTTCTTTCAATTTTTCTTTTCTAATTTATCTTTATTAATTTTCTTAGAACCTTCCCCCAATTTCGAATAAAAGTTAATCAATTATTAAAGTCAGTTTAAAGGATTATGATTGCACGTCTCGAACCACTCTCTAAATTTGAATTAGTAAAAATGTTTACTAATTATAATTAGTGACTGACTTTTTGCTTTTGAATTAGTAAAAATGTTTACTAATTATAATTAGTGACTGACTTTTTGCTTTTGAATTAGTAAATTTCACTAATAAATTAGTAGAATTTACTATTTATTAGTAAAGTTTACTAATTTAAAAGCAAAAATTCAGTCACTAATTCAAATTAGTAAAGATTTTAACTAATTTAAATTTAGAGAGCAGTGAAAGTATTTAAAAATATGAACTTTACGGACAAAAAATGAAAAATTACGGACCATTTATTTATATATTTTCATCAGCAATTAATGCTGACAAAAATATAACCAGTCCGAGTCAAATAAGAGAAAATTTTACTTAAAACTATAAATTAAATTTTTTATAATAATTAAAGCGATGATCGAGTAATAAAATCATTATCAATTAAATTATTATTTCCAAGAATTTTTAACTAAATCGATTATTTTAAGATTTTAACTAAATCGATTATTTTTAATAATTTTAGAAAAAGTACTTTGACAATTTTCAAATCCATTTGTTTACAATATTCAATTTTTACGAAGAAACCTTTTGAGAAAAATTAATTTTACAGAATTGTTAGCTTAAAAGTATAAAAAATTTAAATTTTCAAAGATTTTAATTTGAAACCTTTTCAGAATTCAATTATTTCTAAAAATTCATACTATAATGCTTTTAATATTCAATTATTATCTGTAAAATGTTATCTAAAATTTATTTTTAAATCAATTTTTATTAGAAAATTCTACGAGAATTCAATTATTATATACAAAAATTAATAACTTATTGATTAATGGAATGTTTCTTTGAATTGAAATGTTATAAACAATTTTATCAACAAATTTTTAAATAATTTAATTCTTTTGATGAATTGAAAATAATTGAATTCCTGCGAAGAATATATTTTTATTTATGAAAATAATTGAATTTTTTCAAAGATTTTTTTTTTAATTTTATGAAAATAATTGAATTCAGTCGATGAATTTTATTATTCATAAAAATATTGGATTATATTGCGAAGTACTTTATTTTAATTTTGTAAAATAATTGAATTTCTGTGAAGAATTTTATATTTTAATAAATAATTGAATTCTTGGGAAGAATTTTATGATTTAGGAAATAATTGGATTTTTTTACCATTTTTTTGAAAATAATTAAAGGTTTGTGTAGAATTTTATTAAATTTGGTTTTAAATAATTGATTGTTAATTAAAATTAACTGATGTTTCAGTAAATTTTTTTACTGATTTAATTAGTCAAGTTTTACTAATTGTTCTGTTATTTTTTCACTGAAAATCAGTTATTTTTAACTGATTCAGAAGCAAAAAGTCATTCACGAATTGTTAGTTGAAACGATGATTTTTAACTGATTGAAATTAAGAGAGCTGATTGAGGATTTAATCATTGATTAACTTTTAATCGGTGTTGGTGAAACTGGCCCTTAATATTCTTGATATTTTTCTTAATATTCTTAATATTTTCAATATTTTTCTGAATTTTAGAATTTGAAGTTAAATTTTCTAAATATGCTCCAAAGAAAGGCACCTAAGAAGCAATTATTGAGGCTAATATTAATAATTAATATCAATTAATTAATTAATCAATTAATTAATTTATTAATTAATTAATATTTAGTTAATATTAATACTAATATTCAATAATTAATTAGTTATTTATTAATCAGGGTTGCCACAGGTTAGAGAAGTCAGGGAAACTAGAACTGATCAAGGAAATCAGGGTGCAGTCAAGAATTTTTATTAAAAGTACTGAAAAAAAATTAAATTTTTAGAATTCATAAGAAAATTCATAATTTTGGTGTCTTTTTTGTAATTTCTACTAATTTATTAGTAAAGTTTACTAATTCAAAAGCAAAAAGTCAGTCACTAATTCTAATTAGTAAACATTTTTACTAATTCAAATTTAGAGAGTACTTAAAAATTTCAAAATTAATTGAATTTTAAAACAGTTGAGTTTAAAATTTTTAAACTTCAAACGGTTTTAATTTAAATGTTTAGAAAATTTCAATTTTGATTTTTGAATGAATTTAATTAGAAAATTTTTAAGAAAAATGTTAATAAAATTCTACGTAAACATTTAATTATTTTCAGAAATAATAAAATTTTCACAGGAATTCAATTATTTTTGTAAATAATAAAATTCTTTTTAGGAATTCAATTATTTTCATAAATAATAACTCATTGAGAAATTTCAATTATTTTCAATACAATTTGAATCAAATTCCTGGAAAAATGTAATTATTCTTAAAAATTTTATTATAATTCGTCAAAAGAATTCAATTATTTAAAAATTTATTGATTACATTTTTTGTGAGAAATTTTTGAAAAGGTTTGAAATTAAAATTTTTAAAAATTTTAATTTTTCATACATTTTTTTAAGTATCTTAATAATTTTTAGATTCAATTAAAAGGGTCAGGAAAGAAATCAAAATTTTGTTTGGAATGCGGGAAAAACTCAGGGAAAAACAAAATTAAATTTTTGTAGCAACCCTATTAATATTAAATAAATTAGTCAATTATTTAATAATATTAATGTAAATATTAATTAGTAAATTATGATCCTAAAGTTCTGAACGTTAAAAAAACGGAATTAATTTATTTCTTCTTCGAATTTAAAGTCTTCTAAATATTTTTAATTGTTTTCTAAATATTAAGAATAATTTCTAAATAATCAGAACTTTTTTCTATATTAAGAATATTTTTCTAAATATTCTATATATTATTAATATTGTATATTTAATTCTACTGACAAACGGAATTTTTCATGAAATCATTTAATTGATTTTTCCCATGAATTTTTCCCAAGCACGCTATATTTTCCAGAAAAAAAGCAAAATACATTTCTGTCAAATGGAAATTTGTTGGTAAATTGCAAAATTTAAAAAATTTTTTTTTCTATTTTATGAAAGTAAAAAGGATTACTGGTTTACGAAAATTGATTGTTTTTGAAAATATTGTCAAGTGAATTTCAATTTTCAATGCTTATTTTCCCTTTGAGTTGCAAATTTCTTGTTACATATAAAATTTTTCTTTGAAAACTGGTTGATTTGAAATTAATTTCTAAATTTAATAAACCAATTTTTAGGAAGGTAAATAAAATTCCCTTACGTAAAAAAAGAACAAAAACAAAAATACAATTTCTATAACTTAAAAAAGATTTTTTAAACAAAGAATTTAAAAAATAGTGAATAATTTTGAAAAGTAAAAGTTCTTATATTAAAAAAGTAAAATTTTCTTAAGAAAAATAAATTCAAATTGAAAAAATTTATTATCAAAATAGGAATATTTGATGAAAAAAATTCTACAAGAGTGCAAAAGGATTTTCAAAAACAATCGAATTATTTTTTTGTGCAAACACTTTTAAAATGTTCCAATTTGCCCTTGATCTAAATTTTTAATTGAAAAATTAAGTACAAAATTTGTTTAAGAAAAAAAATTGCTAAGGAAAATGTTGCTCTAAATTATAATTAGTTGTAGAGTCGAAATAAGGGAACTGGGCAAAATTGATATTTTTTTACTTTTGGATTTGTGCATTTTTTCTGACTAAAATATCTGTGTAAAAAAATTTTGAACTAAATAAATAAATAAATAAATAAACTACTGAATAAAATAGTTGAAAAATTTTCTACAGCACTTAGTGATTTATTAATTTGAATCAGTGGAATATTTTCAAAAAAAAAACGAAAATTCCATCTTGTTCAAAATTTATTCTTTTCGTTTTCTTATATCTGTGTTGAAAAGAAAAAGAAGAGAGGAAATTGAGAAAAAGAAGAAAGAAGCAAACGAAAAATTCAGTAGGGAGAAAAGAAAGTTTAAATAAATAAAATAAATGAAATAAATAAAATTCTCATGCAAAAGAAGAAGAAGAAGAAGAAAGGAGGGTAATTTTTTCTTTTGTTTTTTGTGCAATGGGAGTGAGTTAATAACACAATACAGCACAGCACACACACACACACAGAGAGATAAATTTGGTGCTTTTTTGGATACAAAAGTATAAATTAATATTAGTAAAGTTAGCGAAGGCTGAAAAAAAAGCCAAGAGTTAGTTACCTTCCACATGAGGTTTTTGTTAAGGGGTCCCCAGGTGGCAGTGGCAGATTTTGGGATATTGGGAGCTGAAGGAAAGAAGGCGTTACGGGCGTGGGGCAGCGTCGCCACAACATGATTTTCAGATGTTGAACTTTCGTGTGGCACTGTGACTGCTGCTTGCCTATCAGCATTTGGCCAACCTCGTCCGGGCACCAAGTACTGTAAACCAACGGTTAGCCATTCTCCTTAACTATTCGTGATTTTTTTTTTGCTTTCTCTCTTTCTCTCTCTCTATCGGTTGTACCTTCGGCCCCATTTTTTCTCTTTTCCATTCTCAATTAATATTGCCGTTTTAATTTTAATAAAAAATTTTTACTATTTATTTAATTACTTATTTAAATATTTATTTAATTATTTCAATATTTATTTAATTATTTAAATATTTATTTACTTCTTTAAATAATTATTTAATTATTTATTTAATTTATTATTGAATTTAGATCGACCTCATTTTTTCCCCAATGAAAATTATTATTTTCAATATAGAAATTATTAGTTTTCAAAATTTTGCCATTTATAAATTTTTAACCATTTCCAAAATTTTGGCATTTTCAAGTTTTATCGTTTTTTTAAATTTCTACGTTTTCAAATTTTATCGATTTTTAAAATTTCCAAATTTTATCAATTTCTAAACTTTCCAAATTTTAGCAATTTTTGAAATTTTTGAATTTTTTTTTTTTTTTTTTTTTGCAATTTCTAATCTAGAAATTATTGAGTTTCAAAAATTTCCAACAATTTTAAATTTGATTAATTTTCAAAAGTTATATATTTAAAAGTTTTGTCGATTTTTAAAATTTCCACGTTTTCAAAATTTAAAAAATTTTTGAAATTTCCAAATTTTATTAATTTCTAAACTTTCCAAATTTTAGCAATTTTTAAATTTTCGAAATTTTTTTGCAATTTCTATTCTAGAAATTATTGATTTTCGAAAATCTCTATATTTTTAAATTCTATTAATTTTCAAAATTTACACATTATATCAATTTTTAAAATTTTCAAGTTTTCAAATTTCATCGATTTTCAAAAATTCCAAAAATTTTATTAATTTTTAAATTATGATACTTTTTAGCAATTTCAAAAGTTTTGAAATTTTTTTGTATTTTGTAATCTAATTAATTATTGATTTTCAAATTTGATCAATTTTTTAAATTTTCAATTCCAAATTTTATTGATTTCTAAACTTGTAAAGAAACAGTATAAAGTAAAAAATTTACAAATTGTATCAATTTCTAAACTTTAAAAATTTTATTGACCTGTAAGCTTTCAAAAATTTTATCAATTTCTAAATTTCCAAAAGTTTATCGATTTCTAAACTTGAAAAAAATACAGTAAAAATTTATTATTATTATTTATTTATAATAAAAAATTTAGAAATAAAATAAAAAAATATATAGTACAAATTTATTATTATTTATTTATAAGAAAAAATTTGTAAATTTCATCAATTTCTAAACTTCCAAACTTTCAAAATTACATAATATATCGATTTCTAAATTTGGAAAGAAAATACAAAGTAAAAAATTTGAAAATTTCATTAATTTCTAAACTTTTAAAACTTTATCGACTTCCAAACTGTCAAAATTTTATCAATTTCTAAACTTTAAAAATTGTCTCGATTTCTAAACTTTAGAAAATTTTATCAATTCCTAAATTTACAAAAGTTTATCGATTTCTAAACTTGGAAAAAAATATAGTAAAAATTTATTATTAATATTATTTATTTATAGTAAAAAATTTGGAAATTTCATCAATTTCTAAACTTTCAAAATTATATGGATTTCTAAACTTGGAAAGAAAATATAAAGTAAAAAATTTGAAAATATCATCAATTTCTAAACTTTCAAATTGTCAAAATTTTATCAATTTCTAAACTTTTAAAATTGTCTCGATTTCTAAACTTTAGAAAATTTCCAAATTCGAAAAGAAATCAAAATCGGAAAGATTACGAATTCTGGTTAAAATTTTTCTGCAATTAATTGCTGTGAAAAAATTACCCCACCAACAATAATAAATATTCCCCCCAAAAAAATCCGATTTTTATTTTTATTTTTTTTTGACCAAAAAAGAGCCAAAAAATTCGGAAATATTAAGAAGAATCGAAAAATTAAAATGACTTTGCCAGAATTTAAAAATTTGTTTACACATATATATATAGATGAATTAATGAAAATGACTGAATGAAAGTGGAAAGTAAAAGTAAATTTTTTCCTTTTTTTGATAATAGGAATGATATTGTGTCGCGTTTTATATATATACAGTATATTAGAAGTTAATTTGTCTCGAGAAACAACTGATGATGATGATTTTATCCCGCTTATATGGGAAACACGTTGTTCGTGATAAGAGTCGTTGGATTTAGCTTAAGCTTTTGGAATGGAATCTACAATCTATATAGAGATACGCGACGTTTGCACGCACACGCTTGTCCGAAAATTACTGAACGCGTCTCGCGTGACCTATAGAGAATGATCACGCGAGATTTTCTCGCGTGATTACCGACAAGCAACGTGTTTTCAACAAGATTTAGGTAAGAAATTTGCAGCGCGAATCGCATTTTGTGTTAAACGAGAACGCAATTCTTGAAAACAAATTGTTACTCTCTAAAATATAGGGACATTTATATATTTATTTTTTTTTTTTGAAAAATGCGGAACAAGTTGGGAAAATAGAAAAATTGACACGGAATTTATAAAAATAGGAAAAATGTGGAAAAATTGATAAGGAAAATAGTAATAACAAAAATAATAAATATAAAAATAACTACTAAGTTACTACTATTTTTGTATTTTTAATAACAAAAATTGTTATTAAAACTTGTAATGATAATAATATTTATTTATTTTGATAACAGTAATAATAATAATAATAATTATTATTATTAATATTAATAAAAAAATAAAAAAATAGTAGGGAATATTAGCCACTATTTTTTTATTGTTATTTTTATTATTACTATATATTTTATTTTTTCACTTATTTTTAATAACAATAATAATTATTGTTATTAAAGTAAACAAAATAATGCTCCAAAAATTCGAAACTTTCAGGCGAACGAAATATTTTTTAAATATTTTTTCAATATTTTAAAATTTTTCATATAAATATTATCAAAAATTATTGACTTGCATGATAATAAAAAACGTAAGTTAAACATTTTGAAACTTTGTAAATTATTTTTGAATATATTATTGGATCTTATAATAATATTTGAATTTTAAAAATAAGTAAACAAATTTTGTTTATTTGGAAGTTCAGAACTTGAGAGTTCTTATAATAATAGAACAAATAAACAATAATAAAAATAATAATAGAAGTAAAAAATATTTTCAGAAAAAATCACTGACTGAAGAAGCAAAAAAAAAAACAAAATTAAATATTTTATTTTAATTTTTAAATATTTTTATTTTATTTAAATATTTTATATTAAGTTTGGAATATTTTTTCAAAAAGTGGCAAAAAATTATTGAAGTAAAATTTGAAGAAAACATAAATAAATTTCGTTCGTTTAAACGTTAAGATTTTTAGGACATTATGAAAAAATAACAATGGAGATAATAAAAGTAATTACGAAATAAAAGTTCGAAACAAGAAAAATAGTTTTAAAAAAATAGTTTCTAAAAAGAAAAGTAGTTTAAAAAAAGAAAAATAGCTTTGAAAAAGAAAAGTAGTTTCAATAAAGAAAAGTAGTTTCAATATAGAGAAGTAGGTTTAAAAAGAAAATCTAGTTTCAAAAAAGTAGTTTCAGAAGGGAAAGTGGTTTCAAAAAGGAAAAGTAGTTGTGATTTCAAAAAGGAAAAAATTGACAAAGAACCGAAAAAAATAGCAACAAGAAATTCCGTCTCAAATTGAAGATAAACGAAATTTCATTTCAAGAAGTGAACAATTTTCTCGTTTGTCAATTTTTCGGAAAAAGAAAAAATAGAAAAAGAAAAATTGAAATGGAGCAAATTTTTCCACATTCGGTACCTACAATCGAAAATTGGAATTTTTTTTTTCAGAAATACGACAGTTTCAATCATTTTTTCAACTGTTGAAAGTAAAGGGAAAAAGTAAATGAAAATGGCAAGTAAAGCAAAAAAGAAATTTCACGTATTGGTAATAATGGGAAACGTAAATTTATAAGTGAGAATGGATTTCAAATATGTTGCTCGATATTTTTCTCGCTCTCTCTCTCTCACTCTCTCTCGCTTGCTCTCTCAATCTGACATTGAATCGATTTGAAAAGTTAATCCGGAATGGCCTTTTCAGGTACCTGGTGTTGTAAAACTCGTCGAGAGGTCTTTCGGGTGACTGTATTGTTGGAAGAGGCGTTGGGATATGTTGGAGCAAACAGTGCCAAAAAGTTTCCAGTGCAGTACAAGTTTCAATGTAGTTTGTAATCGATTTCACTGTTAGCCAGAATTGCAGCAAAACTCCTTTGGCTTCGTATCAACTTTTGAGTTTCTAGGGAGTATTTTGCACGTATTTTCAATCATTTCATTTTTATACTTTGCTTCTTTGTTTTCTTTTTCTATTTTTTATTTTCTCTTTCTATTTTTTATTCTATTTTGCTATTTATTTGTTTATTTATATTTTTTATTTTATTTTTCTATTCCTATTTTACTTTTATATTTTTATTTTACTTTTCTACTTTTATTTTACTTTTCTATTTTTTATTTTGCTTTTCAATTTATTTTCTTTTTTTTATTTTATTTTTCCATTTGTTTTCTTTTTCTATTTTTAATTTTACTTTTCGACTTTTATGTTTTCTATCTAGTTTTTAATTTTTATTTCAATTATTTATTTAATTTTTCTATAGAAAAGAAAAGAAAAAATCTTTTTTTTGGGTTTGTTTTGCTTTTTTGTTATTTTTTTTTGCTGAGAAATGGAAACCGCTGGAAACTTTTTGGACAAAATTTGAAATGTAATGGCGTGCGTGCATGAGTGAGAAAATGCGTATTAGCTTTGTATCTTAAGTGCGACCAAAAAAAAGAAGATTAGAAGACAGATCTCAAAATTGCATTTTTTTTTTGTTAATTCGTCCCAAATGGAATTTTGAGATTCTGCCTTTTTAGAATGATTGTGATTGTTTTGGAACCAGAGCAGAACAATTTAGAACTTTTTCTTTTCAGTGCATTTTTTTCTTCACTTGAATATTTTTAATTTCTTTTTTTATTAATTTTTTAATTATTATTCTATTTTCTTTTATTCTTAACTTTTTGCATTTTATATATTTGCAACTTTTAATATTTTGCATTTTTTATTTTTCCAACTTTTAATATTTTTTTCATTTAATATTTTTTGTTAAAAAAATATTTTCTGCATTTGTAAAAAATATTGTTTGCATCTTTTTTTCAAGAAAATTTATTTTTGAGTAAAAAAAAGTTGTCAATTGTTCTCCTCTCGTTCCTATTGTTTTTTTTTGTACATTACGAATCTTTCAAAAAAGCACGGACCAGATCCTCACTGGTTTTTCTCCGTTTTAGGAAGAAAATAATGCGGATCTGAAACGAAGGATATAACCGAGAACATAAAAATTTTGTTAAGTGTTTTTTCTTTTTTTTTTCTTTAATGTACAGTGCGAACAAAGTAACCGGCAACCGCGTACACCAAACCCCGCCGCAAAAGAAGCAGAAACAAAATCACCTTTTGTTAGTAAGAGATCTTGTTTTTTTCAACAAAAAAAAAAAAAAAAAATGTAAACTAGTTTCTTTTTTCTGTACTCTTGTGTTTTTAGCGTGTAATAGCTTTCAATAAAAACTGCATCTAACCAAGTTTTAGAATTGTTTTTCTCTTGTTTAAAAGTATTTTTTTTTACAAAAAAAGTATTTTTCATGCGTGTGAATCGCTTTAGCCGTGACAGTCCTCTTTTGCTGGAAAAAAAAATGTGAAAAATCTAAAAATGAAAAATTAAGAATTAAACAAAAAAGGGAAATCAGCTCCAATCTGAATTTTCCAATTTTTATGAGACTAATTTACAAATGGAAAAAAAATGTATTATTAAAATATGTACACGTTGAAATGACAAACTGCATTACTTGTAGACTTCTCCGGATTTTTTTTTCGAGGGTAAATATTCTGTAAAATATTTGATATATACAATGGAGGATTTTTTTTTTGGGAAAATTTTTTTTTCTTTTTGGACCAGAGAAAAGGGATCCTTTTTTTCGGAATACGCTGCAACAAATTTTTGGGTTGAGATTGAAAAAGAGGTGGGATCACAGACTGTCGCCTTTTTACCTTTTTTCTTTTTCTTTTTTTTTAAATTTCAACACCTATTATATTTATTTTGTTAATTTTCCTCTATTTCACCTACTTGCAGTTATTAATTTTTATGACAATTGTAATTAAAGGCAAAAATTTTAATAAAAAATATTTTATTTATTTGAACGTAAAAAAATTTTGAATCACCTTTTTAATTATTTTTCCAAAGATAATTAAATTTCAAAGTTTTTTAATAATTGAAATTCTGTTAAAAATAATTATTTTTTTTAAGTAATTCAATTAAAATGTTTGAAAATCAATTTTTAAAGAATTGCATTTTTTTTTAATTAATTAACTTAATTTTTTGTAAATTTTGAAAATAACTTTGAATTCTCATAAATTTTAAAGAAACATTTTTAGATAAAAATTTGAAAATGAAAATTGAAAATTAGGTTCAAAGAATAGTATTAAAATATTTTTTAATAAACTAAGTTTTAGAATTTTTTCATTATAATTTTTTTAAGTTCAATTATTTTCAAAAAATGTTACTTAATTTCAATTATTTGGAAATATTTTAATTATAATATTTAAGAAATTTAATCTAATGAACTGTTTTTCTTTAATTTCTCAAATATGATTTTTATGAATTTTCAAAAATTATTAACTTGAATAAAATTAAAAAAAATAAATTAAACATTTTGAAAGTTTATATGTAAGTTGATTTTTGTAAATTTAAAAAATAAATAAATTCTAAACTTTATATTCTTCAATTGTGAAAAAAAACAAAATTAATAAAAATCTCAATGAATGCAAGTTACACTGAAAAAAGTTTATTTGATTTAATTTATCGTTATCAAAAAATAATTTTAAAAATAAAAAATAATGATTTTATTATCAAAAAAATATTTATTTGAATCAAATAATTTTAGTTTAAGTCAAAAAAATAGTATTTGAACTAATAATTTCAGTATTTAAACCATTTAAAATTATTATTTGAAATTTGTATTGAATTAAGTATTTGAACCTTAAATAAAAATTATTTGATGCACTTGAAAATTAATTGATACAAATACAATTTTTTGATACAAAAATTGATTGAGACGAATAAAAATATTTTGATAGAAATAAAAATTATTTGATAGTAATATAAATTTTTTGATACAAATATAAATATAAATTTTTTGGTAGAAATAAAAATTATCTGAAACAAATAAAAATTATTTGATACAAATACAAATTTGTTAATACAAAAATTACTCGATATAAATAAAAATGATTTGACAGAAATTAAAATTTTTTGATAGAAATAAAAATTATTAGATACAAAAATTGATTGTGAGAAATAAAATTTTTTTGATAGAAAATAAAAATGATTTGAAACAAAGAAAAATTGTTCGATAGAAATAAAAATTATTTGATCCAAAAATTAATTCAAATAAAAATTTGTTGATAAAAGTAAATAATTATTTGATAATAGACAAGTAAAAATTCGTGAAAAAAAAAAAAAAAAATAAAAAAAAAATTCAAGTGAATTGTTTTCCAGTGTAATTATTTTGCACATATTTTTTTTTTGTCACCTATTTAAAAAAAAATCACCGTTCCATATATTTCAAAGAAAAAAGGTACTGTGATCCCTGAAAGAATAAAAATTGAAGGGAAGACAAACAGATAAGAGATGCAGATTGAAAAAAGAGTTTTGTGAAATTCAACAAATCCTAATTAGAGAAATTGATGCGAACAGGTATTTGTGTTCGATATCTACAGTTTTTTTTTGTTTCCAAAATACAACAAAAAAGAAGGGAGAAAAAAAAAATAAGAATCGAGAAAAGTCACGGCCCGGAAAATGAAAGTTAATTGATTTTGTTGTCCAAGAAAAGACAGAGATATATTATTATATATTATAAAAAAGCAAGAGACTTCGAGCGGGTTTTTTTTTTTTTTTTGGTTTGGTGTATAAGCGGTCTTTGGATACCTTGATGAGTGGGATGCCTATTGTGGTTGCTAGGCGTCATCAAATGTAACTGGTGTGGACCCACTGGCGATCTCAGTGCCAAATTGTTCAAGTTCACGTTTATCGAAAGATTCGTATTGTTACAGGCTGCCGCCAGGTTGCTGTGATTGTTCGGTGAGGTACCCACATTGGAAGCCGCGTGCGGCGATAATCCCGAACTATCCGTCGTTGGTGCCGATGGATTCGATGATGTATTGTGCGAACCAAAATCCTTGCCTCCATTTGCCCCGGCGCCAACTCCACTCGTGCCTGATGAACCACCCGAACTTCCGGTGACCGTTTTCGAACACCTCAAACACTTTGGTAACCATGAATGTCTTCGGATGAATTTTCGATATTCCTTCTTCACCTGAAATTCACGAGAATTTTCTTTTTATATCCATTCGTTTCTTTTTCCTCGAATTTTTCTCCTGTCGAGAGAATTTTTTGTTTACTTTTTCGAAAAATTTGAAATTGAAAAAGACTTTTCAATATGGAGACGATGTTCTCCACCTGAGAACGCCAAGGTCACCGCTAGATGGCACTTGAGTTCCTTCCTGGAATTTCTCCTGCCACCTGGTGGTGACCTTGACGTTCTCAAGTGGAGAAATTCAATCACCATTTTTATAACCTCGAAAACTTTTTGATAATTTAAAAAAAAAATGAACATTTTCTGCTACCTTTGATACCATTTTTTAATTTCTAAATTCAGTTCGAGGCAAACATTGAAAGAGAATTTATTTTTCAATTTATTTTTCAACTGGAAGAAGTTAAGATTGAAAAAAAAAATGTTGAAATAGAAAAAGGTTTTTTAGAGTAGAAAAAAAAGTTTGCTATGAACGGATTTTTTTTCGGGGGGAAATTGAAAGAGATTTTATTTTTTGATCACTGGAAGAAGTTCACGACTTACTTTTTCATTCTGTACACAGTGGAATAAGAAGATAAACAATCCTTGAAGGCTATTAAGAATAGTGAAGATGTACGCCATCACAATGGTACTTTCATTGAGATAAAGTAGTCCGAATGTCCAGGTGAGTCCTAAAAGGAACACCAAGACAACTGCTCCTCGTAGCCAGGCCCTGATAAATAATAATTTATCTGTAGTATCACCTCGAAACCTTTAAAATATTTTGTTATCGTTATTTAACAAAAATTGTACACGTTAAATATTTTTTTCGCTTTTTTTAACTTTTGCGAATATTTTCAATAATTTTTTTAATTAATAATAATATCTTTAAAAAGAATATTTGTAACGAATAAATATTTGTAAAAAAATCAAAATAATAATAATAATAATAAAAATAAAAAGCGTAAAAGCATTTTTTCCTCTCTTAAACTTGTTTTGAAAAAAAAATAAAAATAAAAAATAAAAAAATAATATTAAAAATAATAAAGATATTGATAGAAAAAATTGAACAGTAATAATAATAGAAAGATTAAAAATAAATTAATAACAATATAAAACTGGCGGTAAATTAAAATATTTAACTATTAATTTTTTTTATTCCGAGTACAATTTTAATATTTCGTGTACCATTATTGTGAAATAGAATCTCGTGTAAGTCTTATATAATTAGTTTTTGGGTTAAGTCTTTTCTTTTCTTTTTTTTATTACTACGTCTACATTGACAACTACATTAATTAAAAGAAAATAATTGAAACTCATAAAAAAAAGAAAATTAAAACCATGCACTATATATATTTCTTTAAAAACCCAATGGAATTATAAAAATATTCGTGTTAATTGGCGAATGATATTTTATGAAATTGTCATATTAAAATGTTAATATTTCAACTCTCTTTTTAAAGAGATTGTTTTTCTCTTCCCATTTGAAAAATTAATTTTTTTCTCCTTCCTTTTTTTCTTGCTCTCAACTAAGAAATGAACTCTTGAAACTTCTCTAATTAATACTTTAAGAAATAGTTTTTATTATTTCAAGAGACGATTTTCCTCTTCCTTTGCTCTTCAAACAATTTTCAGTAAATTAAATTATTTATTTAAATTACGTAATTTGAGAGAAAGAGAAAGAGAGAGAAATTTTTTTCTTTCAAATTTAATTCTTTGAATTTTCGAATATATAAAACTTGAGAAATATTTTTATTTTTGCTCGTTTGTATATTTATGATAATTTAAATTTTTTTAATGACAATATAATTATAAATTTACAAAGCGGAAAAAATTAAAATTATTTATTATCCTAAAGTTCTGAACGAAATTTATTTATTTCTTTTTGAAATTAAATTTTTATTATAATTATTTTTGCGTTGAAGAAAATATAAAGTTTCTAAATGTTAAATTTTAAATTAAATTTTAAGTCTGATTTTTATTGCAAAGAGTAAATTATGAAAATGATTTTAAAAATATTTCGTTCATTTAAACGTTCAAAACTTGTGGTTCATAATTTTTCACGAGTTCGAAATTATTTTACTATAGTCTTAATAATTATTTACAATTATTTACAATTTTTTAATTAATTTAATTTTGAAATTAATTAAAATTATTTATTAAATTAATTAAAATAATTTAATTTTGAAATTAATTAAAAAAATTTAATTGTAGACGTTATTTGTTAAATAAAAATTACCAATTTCCCAGTGGGTCTTTATAGTCAGTTTATGATAAAGCTATTTACTACAATTATTACGTGAATGAATAGACTACGAAAAAAAAAATATTACAAGTTAGCTTGAATGATAAATAATGATGAGAAAAAAAATCAGCTAATGAGTGAAAGGGGATGGGGGAAAATGATAATAAAAAATCTTAAATATCTTACAAGTGCGCTTGCAATTTGTTGGGAAGAGCATTCTCCTCCTTTCCACTACCAACCAACCACGCCATGCAGAAGAATGTAGAACAGTGTAGACAGAAGGTGGGGTAGAAGATTTTTTTTTTAATAAAAAAAAGAATTAAACAATACAGCAGTTAGGTGGTTGTTCCAACACCGTTAATAAATTTAATGATAATAATTTTAAAAGAAGTAAAAAAACTCTCGATTCGAATAATGATTTCCGTTTCTTGCCAGAATCAAGCAAATAACGGAAATAAATTTTCCTTTCATTGTGCGAATGAGCAGAAAAGAAATTTTTTTTATTACAATCGAGATTATCGTTTTAGTGTACCCTCCATCACCCGTTTACCACAAAAAAAAGAGAAAAAAAAATTTGAAGAAATTATTTCTTTCGATAAAGAAAAATACCCATTCACCTGTTTTCTTAATTTTTAATAGCTACAAAATTAAATTAAAAATCGGCCTTTCTGGTATTTTTTTGTCGAAAAAAAATTTTTTGACTAGTGACACTTTTTAATTTATTACTCTTTGTGTTTAATTCATTATTTAATTTATTAGTCTCTATATTTTTAATTAATTATTCTGCAAATTTAATCGATTATTCTGTATTTTTCGCTTTTTTTATATTTAATAATTTAATTTATTAATTTCTGCATATTTAATTAATTTCTCGATATTTAATTAATATGTCCTTATTTAATTTTTTATATTTAATTAATTTCTGCAAAGTTAATTAATTTCTCCATATTCAATTGTTGTATATTTAATTAATTAATTAATTAATTAATTAATAACTCTAATTAATCACACTGACAAATTTTATCATTTGTGATATAAGAACAATTTTTCGAAAAGTGCAAAATTAATTAATCACTCTGATAAAAGTTATAATTTTTTCCAAAATATTTACAATTTTTCGAAAGTGCAAAATATCGTGACAGGCACAAAAAACAAAAATCATTGGTGAATGAAAAAATATTGTGAATAATCAACAAAGCTTTGAAAACCAAAAAACGAAATATTCTATAAAAAAAATATTGCATTACAAATACAATGTTTTGAAAATCAAAGTATGCGATCATTCCAACAGAAAAAAAATTGTCATATGAAGAACAAATTTCCTTTTCAAATTGAATTTAAAAAATATATTAAAAAATTAGTGTGAGTCCTTGTGGAAAGTTTTTTTCTTTCTTTTTTTTTTTGTTTTAGAAAGCTAGACAAGCTAAAATTAAATTAAAAGCATAAAACACAGTTTTGATTCTACTCGTCCAGAGTTTCTGTCGTCGTACGTGGTGTAATTTGCCGACGCATATACATATATATAGGTACAAATTGCAGCGTTTGTTAAAAAAAAAAAAAAAAGAAAAACTATGTCTGACGTGAATTGCTTTAGCTTACCTTGCACTGGCGAGGCGAGAATGTTCTTTACTCTTCATAGAAACAGTGGTGTTCGCGTGTCGACACATCATATAAATTGCCATTGAAAGAAATACCAAATTTGCCTGTTAAACAGAAAAATGCTTTCTGTTAAAAATTATGCTCAAGATAAGACTCGAAATTGATTATTATTTTTTATGGAAATTGTAGTTTAAAAATAGTTTAGAGAAATAGAAGAAATTGTTCTTTTGTTATTTTATATTCCTTTATTTTTTTTAGTCACTGTTTTTATATTTATTTTTGTTCTTATTTTTTTTTGTTTATTATTTAAATTTATCATTTATTATTATTTTCATTCTATTTTTTTCCTTTCACTTTTCTATTTTCATTCTATTTTTCTTCACTGTCCTTAAAGTTCTGAACCGTCAAATAAACGAACTTTATTTATTTCTTCATTAAATTCAAATTTTGTTGGTATAAAATTAAGTCACGTATTAAAAAATAATTCATTAAGTTACAAGGTATTTAATTTCTCTTTTAATTTTAGTTAGTAATTTTTAAAAATATTTTCCATAGTAAAAAATTTGAACGTTCAGAATTATTTTTGGAAATTTTCTATTTCATTTTTGTTTTATTTAGCTTTTTCTTTATTTTTTTTAATAGTAACAAACAGTAGAAATAAAAATAGTAAAAATAGAAAACTGGAAATAAATAAATAAAAATAGTAAAAATAGAAAACTAGAAATAAATAAAAATAGTGAAAAAGTAAAAATAGAAAACTAAAAATAGTAAAAATAAAAATAATAAAAATTGTCTTTTTTGTTATTTAGATTAATTAAAAACTTGAAAAAATTATTTTCAGAAATTAGCGACCAAGTTAAAAATGAAAATTATTATTGTAAACATTTTTCTTCCTTAAATAATTATCAAAAATTACCAGAATAACGAGGATCACTGGTCCGACAAAACTGAAGATGAAATAGTTATCCGTTCGGAGCCAACAATGTTGTTTAGTGCCGTAGCTGAGGGGATCGATTATGCAAGAGACGGCGACAATAAGTAATGGCAAGCCATAAGCAACTAGATAGTACCATCGTAGTCGCGATTTTTCAGCTTCAAAAACTTCAATTAACATCACGTACAATTGAAAGCCTGTGTCGAATAATATTCAATTAGTCATCAAAATAAAATTAATTTCAATCACATTTACAAAAAAAAGAAGAAAAAAACCAATTTTCAATAATCTCCTTCTTAATTTCTAATTATTATTATTTTTTTTTTTTGAAATTCGATATTGGTTTAATTAATGGGAAAAAAGAGAGAGAGAGAGAGAGAAAGAGAGAAATTAAGTCGGAGATTTAATTGAGTCTTATACCTTCGAGGAACATCCAAGCAAAGGCGCAGAGGAAAAAGAAATGCAATAGTCCTGCAACAATACCGCAGAGGATTCTCTGATCCGTTTGTCCTATTCCACAGACGAAGAGAATCTCAGCGACGAGTAAACAGACGCAGAGATTCTTGTGAATTGTCGTTCTATCGGACTGTAAATAAGAAAATAATTATTTTACTCTAGTTGTGGTTTTTAATGTATTATTTATTGCGCATATCTTTATTGCTTTTGAATAATTATTTAGATTATTAGGATTGTTTTTGAACTCTTTTTGTTTTTTTTTTTAGTATTTTTGAAAATTAGTTTTTTGTTACTTTTTGGTTTTTGGATACATATTTTCGAATTAGTTTTTAAAATTCTTTTGGGTTTTGGATTATTTATCACCTTTTTTGTGTTTTTGATTATTTTTGAATTAGTTTTGGATTGTGGAATATTTTCGGATTATTTTTGAATCATTTTTTGATTACTTTTAAGTTTTGGATTATTTTTGTTTTTTTTTTTTAAATTATTTTGAATTAGTTATTTGATTACTCTCCAATTTTTTTGCGTTTTGAATTACTTTCGAATTAATTTTTTGTTTTTAAATATTTTTCAATTATTTTTGAATTAGTTTTTGTAATAATTCTTTTGGGTTTTGGAGTATGTTAAAAATTTTGTTGAATTTTTGATAATTTTCGATTTAGTTTTTAAAATTTTTTTGTGTTTTTGATTATTTTTGAATTAGTTTTGGATTTTGGAATATTTTCGGATTATTTTTGAATCATTTTTTGATTACTTTTGGGTTTTGGATTATTTTTTAATTAATTTTTTGTTTTTAAATATTTTTGAATTAGTTTTTGTAATTATTTTGGGATTTGGAGTATGTTAGAATTTTTTTGATTTTTTGTTATTTTTCGAATTATATTTGAATTAGTTTTTGGATTACTTTTGGGATTTGGATTAATTTCCAATTTTTTTCGGTCTTTGATTATTTTCGTATTATTTTTTAATTAATTTTGGGTTTTGGAATATTTTCGAATTAGTTTTTGAAATTTTTTTGGGTTTTGGATTATTTTTCACCTTTTTTTGTGTTTTTGATTATTTTTGAATTAGTTTTGGATTTTGGAATATTTTCGGATTATTTTTGAATCATTTTTTGATTGCTTTTAAGTTTTTGATTATTTTTGGTTTTTTTTTAAAATTATTTTGAATTAGTTTTTGGATTACTTTTGGGATTTGGATAAATTTACAATTTTTTTCGGTCTGGGATTATTTTCGTATTATTTTTTAATTAATTTTGGGTTTTGGAATATTTTCGAATTAGTTTTTGTAATTCTTTTGGATTTTGGATTAGTTACCACCTTTTTTTGTGTTTTGAATTATTTTTATTTTTGGAATATTTTCGGATTATTTTTGAATTATTTTTTGATTACTTTTGGGTTTTGGAATATTTATTAGCTTTTTAAAAATTTATTTTAAATTAGATATTGGATTACTCTACAATTTTTTTCGGTCTGGGATTATTTTCGTATTATTTTTTAATTAATTTTTAAATATTTTTGAATTAATTTTGAATTAGTTTTTGTAATTATTTTAGATTACTTTTGGGATTTGGATTAATTTCCATTTTTTTCGGTCTTGGATTATTTTCGTATTATTTTGGAATTAATTTTGGGTTTTGGAATATTTTCGAATTAGTTTTTGAAATTTTTTTGGGTTTTGGATTATTTTTGAATTAGTTTTGGATTTTGGAATATTTTCGGATTAGTTTTGGTTTTGGAATATTTTTAGATTATTTTTGAATTATTTTTTGCTTACTTATGGTTTTTTTTAATTACTTTCGGATTATTTTTCAATAAATTTTTAACATTTAATTTGGGTTTTGTATTATTTTCGAATTATTTTTGGATTATTATTGTGTTTTGAATTATTTTCAGATTATTTTTGAATCATCATATCAAAATAATCCAAAACCCAAAGGTTCTGGATTATTATGAGTTAGTTTTTGGATTACTCTCATATTCTTTTGGACTATAGTTTATTTTCGAATTATTTTTGGGTTTTGAATAATTTTTGTATTAATTTTGGATTACTTTTGAATTTTCAGTTATTTTAGAATACTTTTATAATTTTTTTGGGTTTTGAATTACCTATTTTCAGATTATTCTTTAATTACTTTTGGGTTTTTTAAATCATTTTTGGATAAAAAGAGTGCAAAAATAATTTATAGCAGTAAAAATAGTATCAGGAAGCAGTAAACATTATTTTCAAATTATTTTTGAATGAAAAGCGTTAAAATAACTGAAAGAAGTAAAATTAGTAGAAAACAAGAATAAATACCTTTAATCCACGAAATAGTTGAAATGTAAGAATCGCGAGGAAAAGACAGACGACTGAAATTGTACATCCAATGTACGTCATTATTTGCAGCGCCCGATCTTGATCCGGATTCAATTTAACAGCGTGTACGTCCATTAAAATTGCAAAATTTGTCAAATGCCTGCACGTACAGACAGTGTGTGTCGCATTCGTGTCCAGAACATTGCAACCTTCATTAGACCACGCACTGGAATTGTTAAAAATTTTATTAGTATTTGAAATTTCAAAAGGGAAAAAAATATTTTTCTAACAAACAAATTTCTATTTCTATTTTTTTACAACGTTTTCAAAGAAAAAAGAAAAAATTTATTTTATTTAAATTAAAAAAGGGAAAAAAGAAAATTTACTTGAAGGTATAGTCCCAGAAGACACAAGTTGGATTTGAAATATTATCGGCGACTGTCAAGTGTCGAAAATAAATTTTCACCGATTCTGATAATTCAATGTGTCGCCCTTTGCCAAGCGACGCTGAGATTACTTTACTGTTTAGAATTCTCGTTCGATTTTCTTTTGGTTTCGCAAGTATTTGATCGTCACTCATGACGACCGTCGGCACTTTCTCCACAGTCTGTAAAATTTCCTCGAGTCTGTCGAATGCCATGAAAACAAGTCGTACAATACCGTCCTCACTGTTCTCAATAAGCGCTCGCCTTGGCAATTGTATTGAGGCGTTCCATTTTTGTTGAGTGGATTTCGAGGGAAATACTTCCACGTTGTTATTGATATTTCGAGTCTCCAATACTCTTACCTCCATCACTGCAAAAAACAATTTTTTTTTGGTGAACAAAAAAAATTTTTTGAAATATTTACACATTAAATTAAAAAAGGCAGGCTTTGCACTCATCTACTAAAACCTACTATTTACTACTTTTTTTTGTACGTTATGGTATTATATGGATACTTTTTTTTTAAATTTCAGTCACTAAAAGGATTCAATTATTTTCAAAAAATAATAAAATATTCGAAATTCAATTATTTTCAGAAACATTCGAAATTTAATTATTTTCAATATCTACTATTTTCATAAAATTTCGCAAAAAAATTCAATTTAAAAAAAAATTGATAAAATTCATCCCAAATTCAATTATTTTCACAAATAAAGTTTTCCACAAGAATTCAATTATTAAAAATAAAATTTTCATAATATTTATAATATTTCGAAAAAATTAATTATTTAAAACAATGTTTATAAAATTCTTATGAAAAATTCAATTATTTTCAAGAATAACAAAATTTTTTACAGAAATTCACATCTTTTTAAACATTTTAATAAAATTTTTGGCAATAATTTAATAATAAAATTCTTTCCAGGAATTCAATTATTTTTGAAAATTTTTAAAAAATTTTTAGTCACTATTCAATTATTTTCAAAAATATTAGAATTTTTCACAAGAATTCAATTATTTTCAAATATTTTAAGAAAATTGTTGGAAAAAAATCAATTATTTTAAATACAATTTTAATAAAATTTTTTTGAAATAATTCAATTATTCTTTCAGATTTTAATAAAATTCTGTCCAAGAATTCAATTATTTTCATGAATAACTAAATTTTTCACAGAAATTCAATTCTTTTTAAACATTTTAATAAATTTTTTCGCAATAATTCAATAATTTTCATGAATAATAAAATTCTTAGCCACTATTCAATTATTTTCAAAAATATTAGAATTTTTTACAAGAATTCAATTATTTTCAAATATTTTTTAAGAAAATTGTTGGAAAGAAATCAATTATTTTAAATACAATTTTAATAAAAATTTTTTGAAAGAATTCAATTATTCTTTTAGATTTTAATAAGATTCTTCACAAGAATTCAATTATATTTATATAAATAATTCTTGAAAAGAATTCAATTATATCGATAAATAACAAAATAATTCTCCAAAAATTAAATTATTTTGAGGCATTTTTATAAAATTCTTTGCAAAATTCAATTATTTAAAAAAATTCTTAAAATCGTTGGCATGAATTCAATTATTTTCATAAATAATAAAATGCTGTTTAGGAATTAAATTATTTTCAAAAAAAATTTAATAAAATGCCACACAGACATTCAATTATTCTCAAAAATTTTTATAGAATTTTTTGTAAATATTAATTATTTTTAAAAGTATTAAAATTTTTTTTATGAATAATAAAATTTGTTGCAGGAATTCAATTTAATTTTTTACTACTGTTTTTTGTTTTGAAGCTAGTTTTTGCTCCTTTTTTAAAAAATTAATTATCGAGTGCAAAGTCTAAAAATAAAAATTGAGAAAATAGAAGAAAGTAAAGTAAAGAAAAATTATAATAGTAAATACTCACATATATTTTTGCCCTCCTGAATAATTTTCCTCTCATGCGTGAGTGTTTCGGCAAGAAGAAATGCATTCTCCTCGAGACCAATGAAAAGTGAAGTGGCTACGGCCATTTGATCATTTTCACTGAGATCACGCCACGAGGCCAATTGCGCCTCATCAAGAAGATTACTTCCCGTTCTAATAACACCCTGAAGTAATTCAGTGACACTAACTTCACGTTGACTTGAATCCTGATAAGTCTTAATATCCTCGGCTAATTTTTTCGCCATATTTTGAATGATTTTTGTTGTTATCTTCATATCGCCACCGTACAACATTTGACTGTTATTAGTGACTTGTGATAAGTCACGACTAATTCCAAGTATCACATCACCCTCGGCGATTCTGTTCTCCAATGATGTTAACCACACTGAACGACATTCACTGAGATCGGGAGTGTCACGATCCCAGGAAGCTGAATCACCTCTGGCAACGCAATTCCAACGTGCATAGCCATTTGCACCACCGGGACAATTTTGTACCGCCATGTCACCAGCACGTGTGGTATTCCAAATCAAATTTCTGGCCTCTCTTGGCAAGCATAATTGTCGACCATAATCATACCACTGGCCATTTGAGCTCGATTCTGGATACTGTGTACTGGGCACTGAAATCAAACGATATAGATATTTGTGTGTGTGTGTGTGTGGGTCCAGTAAATCTATTTCTGCTAAATTGGAGACCAAGTCAATTAAGATTGTAGATTGACGGAGGCCAAATATTTCCTTGATATTACGGAAATAATTTTCATCCCCCCCACCCCTTCCCCTCAGCAATGCTGCCTTCTCTTTCGATTATTGTAAATTACAATTTCCTCGATTTTGATCGAAATTGACTTTTTTTTCGAATATTAATCGATATTTGGAAATGATTCACGTAAATTTGATTTATTCCATTTCCGATATTATAATATTAATTTGACGTTTATTGATATTTATTATCAAAAATATTATTTTATAATAGAGAAAAGGATTATCAGGGCAAAAAATTCAATTCAATAAATCCAGACCGGAAAGTTCAAGAAAAAAAAGTCCAAAGTACAAAAAATCCAAAATAAAAATGTCCAAAGTTGAAAAATCAAAAATAAAAAAAAAAAGTTCAAAATAAATAATGAAACATGTGAAAAAGCCACATTTTTATTTTTGCCCTATAAAATCGAAATTATTTTCAACATTTTTGATAAAAATTCTTTACAAAAATTCAATTATGTTGAAGCATAAGAAAATTTCTAGAAGAATTTCAATTATTTTATAAAACTTTTAATACAATTATATTCAACAATTTTGATAAAATTCTTTACAAAAATTCAATTATTTTCAAAAATAAAAAAATTTCTAAAAGAATTTCAATTATTTTCATAAATAAAAAATTTTCTAGAAGAATTTCAATAATTCTATAAAATTTTTAAAACAATTATTCCAAGAAATACAATTATTTTCAATTATTTTTGATGAAATTCTTTACAAGAATTGAATTATTTTCAAAAAAATAAAAAAATTCTTCACAAAAATTTAATTATTTTCAAAAATAAAAAAATTTCTAGAAGAATTTCAATTATTCTATAAAATTTTTAATAAAATTATTCCCAAGAAATACAATTATTTTCAATAATTTTGATGAAATTCTTTACAAAATTGAATTATTTTCAAAAATAAAAAAATTTCTAAAAGCATTTCAATTATTTTCATAAATAAAGAAATTTCTAGAAGAATTTAAATAATTGTATGAAATTTTTAATACAATTATTCCCAAGAAATACAATTACTTTCAACAATTTTGATAAAATTTTTTACAAAAATTCAATTATTTTAAAAAAATAAAAAAATTCTTCACAAAATTTCAATTATTTTCATAATTAAAAAAATTTCTAGAAGAATTTCAATTATTATGATAAAATTTTTAATACAATTATTCGTAAGTAATACAATTATTTTTAATTATTTTGATAAAATTCTTTACAAAAATTCAATTATTTTCAAAAATAAAAAAATTTCTAGATGAATTTCAATTATTTTCATAAATAAAAAAATTTCTAGAAAAATTTCAATTATTCTATAAAATGTTTAAAAAAAGACAATTTCATTTAAGGCAACCGATTAAATTTTCAATTTTGTAGTAAAATTGTTATTAGAAAATAAGACAAAAATTATTTTTTTCCTAAAGTTTGGGGTTTTTAAATCAACGACGATATTTTTAGAATTATAAAAAATTATTGTTATTATAAATCTACGATAAAATTATAATTGTAAAATTATTATTTGAAAATTGAAATAAATTATTGTAATAAAATATTAGACTAAAAAATAAATAATATTGAATAATAATTTCTTTCTTTTAATTATTAATTGAAAAATAAACATAAGAAAATGAATAAATATAAATAAATAAATGAGAAAGTAAATAAAGAAAATAAACGGAAATAAACAAAAATAACAAAAAATAAAGAAAAATATAAAAAATAGTTTTTAAAAAAATTTAAAAAGCAATTGAATTCGCAATTGAAAAATTGATTTACAAAAAATGTATTTCATAAAGAAATTTTGATTAAATTCAATTAAATTTAAATAGAAAACAAAATTGTTTCGTATCTTTTAGTAGCAAAAAAGAAAAATATATTTTTCTCTGAAAAAAATAAATCTAAAACTGAAATATTGAAATGAAATATAAAAGTTATAAAAAAAATTGCATTATTAAATTGAAATATAAACAAAGTGAAACTTTGTTGGAAATTCTATATATATGATTGGTAAATATTTATATGCATCGGGGAAAGTCTCAATGTACTTAAGGTATTCTTTTTGAGCAAGCAATATCCAGAAAATATTTCTCATGCATCTGAATAAAGAAAGTTGGTCTTGTAAAAGAAAAGAAAAAAAAATTTATATATATACTACATCGATCCCTTTGAAAAACGTGCCTCTCATGTAACTTTTCTCTCAGTCTTCTGTGTATATATACATATATATAAAATATGAAGACTTCAAAAAAGAAACTAGATTCCACTAATGTGGCTGCGTTTTACTATTCATACAATTCTTTCATAGCTAAAACCCTTTTTCTTCTTCTTGGCAAAAAAAAAGAAAAAGAAGATAATAAAAACTCATGTAACTCACTTGTCTGGTATCCGTCAACTTTAAAATTACATATACGGAAAAAATTACTTTTTATTAGAAGGTTTTTTTTTTACTCCAAAGACTCTTTCCCCGAGTGCATAATTTCTCCTCTTATTGAAATTTGCAAACTTTACCATTTTCGTTTATTATCACAATTTTCATATTTTCACAATGTAATTATTTTTAAATTAATTTGTATTTTTGAATTTTTGAATTTAAATTAAAAAATATTCATTATTTCCGTTCAATTTATTTTATTGAACGGAATATAATTTTATGCATTGTATTAAAAATGAAATAAATAATACCTGCGGTTTTTAAAAATAAAAAAAAATTCTTTCACGTGCTGAGAGTGTAAAAATTGTAAAAAGAGGAAATATTTTTTTTTTTTTTGTAAAATAGTGAATAATTTTGATGAAAGGATAATTACCAGTTGTCCTACGACTAGTTCGCATTGAGACAAACATTGACGTTGTCGTTGCTTGCGTTGTTTCCTGTTCGACAGGCAAATCGACTGATTCAAAATCGCTGGCAGGACGAATCAGGTCCTCATTCTTGTCGACTTTTACATCACTACCGAGTCTCGTCGACGTGGGACTGCAATTAAAAAAAGCACAAATTAAAATTAATTAATTAATTTACTATAGTATTATTTAATATTTAAAAATTATTATTTGTCTTAATTTAATTTTTTTTTTTTTTGATAATAATTCTATTATAAAATGTGTTCTTTTCTTTGTGTTTCAGGTGAGTTAAACAATGTTTCCTGTCGAGACTATTTCGTAAGTAAATATATATCGAAATATATTTAATTATATATTATAAGAAAAATATAATTATTGAAGAAATTATTTAAAAATTCTTATTTGTTTATTCAACGAGAAATATTACCTCCGCAATATTTTTATGGATCTTTTTTAATTTTTAAACTAAATTCCCTTTTTAAAAATTAAAATTACCTTTTTTAACTAATACTACGTGAAAAAATCACTGTGATCCTTTTAATTTTAATATTAAAAAAACAGTTAAAAATTAAAATAGTAAAAAAATAGTAAAAATAACGAAAATAGCAAAGAATTAATTATTTATTTATTTATTTCTATTATAATAAATAAAAAAATAAATAAAAATTGTAATAAAAATTAAAAATAGTAAAAAGAACGGAAATAGGAAAAACGAGGATAGTCAAAAAATAACGAAAATAGTAAAACAAAATTAAGAAAATAGTAAAAATAACGAAAGTAGAAACAAACAGAAATATTAAAAATAATAAAAGCAAAAAAGCATGAAAATAGTAAAAATAATAATAGTAAAAATAACGAAAGTAGTAAAGAACGAAAATATTAAAAAATAATAATAGTATAAACGAAAAAAGTAAAAAATATTAATACTACAAAATAACGAAAATAGTAAAAATAACGAAAGTAGTAAAAATTAAAAATAGTAAAAATAAAGGAAGTAGTAAAAAATGTAGAAAATATTAAAAATAATATTAAAAATTAACGATAGTAACAAAAAATAGAATTAGTAAAAAATAATAATAGTAAAGACAAAAATAGTAAAAATAACGAAAGTAGTGAAAACCAAAAATAGTAAAAATAACAGAAATAGTAAACAATGTCCAAAATATTTTTAAAAAATTTTTAAAATTTTAAAAATAACGAAAGTATAAAAAAAAATAATAGAAACAAATAATAGTAAAGAAAAAAATAGTAAAAATCACTGAAGTAGTAAAATGTAAAAACCACAAATAGTAAATATAACGGAAATAGTAAAAATATCGAAAATATTAAAAAAATTAAAAAAATAGCAAAAATAACGAAAGTAGTAAAAGCCAAAAATAGTAAAATTAACGGAAATAGTAAAAAATATCGAAAATATAAAAAAAATAACGAAAGTAGCAAAAAATAGAAATAGTAAAAAATAATAATAGTAAAAACAAAAATAGTAAAAATAACGAAAGTAGTAAAAATCAAAAATAGTAAAATAACAGAAATAGTAAAAATTGAAAATAGTAAAAAAACAAAAAAAATTAGTAAAAATATCGAAAGTAGCAAGAAACAAAAATAGTAAAAAATAATTATTAGTAAAAAATCATGATATTAGTAAAAACGAAAATAGTAAAAAAAATATTAATAGTAAAAAATAATGAAATTAGTAAAAATATGGAAAACAATACAAAAATAAAATAGTAAAAATAACGAAAGTAGCAAAAAATAGAAATAGTAAAAAATAATAATAGTAAAAACAAAAATAGTAAAAATAACGAAAGTAGTAAAAACCAAAAATAGTAAAAATAACGGAAGTAGTAAAACTGTAAAATCCAAAAATAGTAAAAATAACAAAAATAGTAAAAAATATCCAAAATATTAAAAAAAATTTTAAAAATAGTCAAAATAACGAAAGTAGCAAAAAAAGAAATAGTAAAAAATAATAATAGTAAAGACAAAAACAGTAAAAATCACTAAAGTATTAAAAACTACAAATAGTAAAAATAACAGAAATAGTAAAAAACGAAAATAGTAAAAAAAAGTAGTACTAGTAAAAAATAATGAAATTAGTAAAAATAAAGAAAACAATAAAAAAAGAAAATAGTAATAATAACGAAAGTAACAAAATATAGAATTAGTAAAAAATAATAGTAAAAACAAAAATAGTAAAAATAACGAAAGTAGTAAAAACCGAAAATAGTAAAATAACGGAAATAGTAAAAACAAAAATAGTAAAAAAATAAAAAAATAAGTAAAAATAACCAATGTAGCAAGAAACAGAAATAGTAAAAAATAATTAATAATAAAATATCATGATAATAGTAAAAACGAAAATATTAAAAAAAATAGTAATAGTAAAAAAAAATGAAATTAGTAAAAATAAGGAAAACAATAAAAAAAGAAAATAGTAAAAAATAATAATAAAAATAACACAGCAATTATATCGTTGATAGTCATTAGTTATGGTTAATTTTTTTTCAAGTATATTATGAACATAGCTGACCTCGGTAGAGTTGTTATTGAAGGGGTGGTGGATGGTACTGAGTGTTGGGGAGGCTGTTGAGCAGCTGGTGTTGTAATCCTCGAGGGTGATCGGACTGTTGCCTTAACTGTACTCCAAACACTGGGCTGAGACGTTAACAACCAGGGTGGACTAGGACGTGACGTGGTTGTAGTCGTTGATGCTGTGAATATAATTGAAAATTATTATTTAATAAAAAAATCGAAAATACCAAAATTTACACAATCGATATCATTCATATATAAAAAAAACAAAGCTATGGAAATTTTCATGAAATTTTAATATTAAAAGACAAAAAAAATATTTATTCTTAAACTTCCTTTTTCTAATTAAATCAGTTTAATTTTATTATTAATTAATTAAGCTAATAAATCATATCTAAATTAAATTTAATTAAATTTCCTGTTAATTAAAACATTTCTGAAAAATAGAACTTTTATAAGGCTGAATATTTCCTTTTCAAAATTATAATGGACTTTATTTTCATAAATCTATAATGAATTTTGTGTTTGTAATTTTTGAATTGAATTATTGAATCTATTTTATAATTTTGAATAAATTGAGCACATTTATCTTTTGTAATTATCTAAAATGCTAATTTGGAATTAATTAAAATTTCATGAAATTGTTTTCCATTTCTTGTTTTAATTTTATTGATAATGATAATAATTTATTTGATATAATTTTATTTGGATTTTTGCTATTAATATGCAGTACCATTGAAAATTGTATTCGTCACATTCTGACTAAGAAATTTTCGATTTCTCTTTATTTAGATTTGATTCTTGTGTTTCGAGAATATTAGGAATTTTACTAAAAGATCTTCATAGTAGATGATGAATAATAATGAATCAATTTGCGAAAGAGGATTGTTTAGTAAATATTATCTGTATAATACTGTTTTTAATCCTTTTCTTATTTTTTAAATTCTTTTTTATCCTTTTTTTCTCTTTTGCTTTCTTGATAGTTTTTTTTCAAACTTTTCTATCCTCTTTTATTTTTCTTTATTTTTTAAATTTTCTATCCCTTTTTTATCCTCTTTGATTTTTTTTTTTAATTTTCTATCCATTATTTATCCTCTTTTATTTTTTTGTATTTTCTATCCTCTTTTACTTTTTTTTTTTTTAATTTCTCCATTTTTTAAATCCTTCTTCGGTGTGTTTTTTATTTTCCCTCCGCTGCAGGTACAAGAAAACAATTTTCCTGACTATATAAAGATTGACTTGCACGATATTGTCGACGATTTTGTTTTTTTTATTTCTTCTTTTGATTTAAATAGATTCATTATAGTGGAATTGTAATTAAAAAGGAAATAATAATAATAAGACGATAAAAAGAAAATAAAAATCTGGGCTTACTAAAGTGGACTCTTTCCACTTGGAAAAAAAAACCAATTTTTACATGTGTACGTGAGTCAAGTAACTTGTAATGGAGCGACGCGTTTGTTCTCCATCATCGTCTATGCATTATAGTCAGTGGCGCATGAAATGAGATCGTTATCGCTCCTCGTAATGAAATCCTTATCGCGACAAGTACGTCAGAGTTCAAACGCACAGCAAGTTCGATCCTTGTACGCGAATAATAACCCCATATAATATACAAGTCTGCGTTGAAAAAAAAATCGTTTTTAAGTTTTGATATATAAATTTTATATTTTCCATGTTAAAGAAGAAACATTTTTATCACTATTTTTACGTACATTTTTTTCCCTCCAATTTCTTCTTTCTGTTATAGTATAAAATTCATGACCGAATTGTTTTTTAAAAAGCGGAGAATTTATATTGAATAATGGAATTTTGTATATAGCGGAGGAATTTTTGTTTATTATTCTTTTTTTAGTGCAAAAATTCGATGAAGTATTTTTTTTTATTTTAATAGAGAAAAAAAATTGGAAATTTGATTAAATGAATTTTTTTGCTTTTAGTCAGTTGCAAAATTTTTAGTATAATGAATTCTTTTTAGAGAATGCGTCGTTTTATTTTTTAATAAAAATTATTATTTCTGCTGGCGGTATTTCTTAATATTCTTGGCAAATTTTCAAAGCGCAGTACAAGTAGAGTAACAGCTGTTAAATAGTATATAATTAAATTAAATATTAGGGGAATGTAGTCAAGGTTGGCCTACTGTCTAGGTAGGCCACTCGCGTTTTTTTGTCAAGTTCACTAGCGCCACCTACGCGCATTTTTGTCGAAGCTTGTCTTAGTGAAACCTAACTTTTTGTTCAATTACATTTTCGGAAAATCGAAAATTGTGTTTTCTGTGACGTCGGTACAAAAAAAGCTCAAAAAAAGTTTTGTGCATAATGTGAAAAACCATTAATAAAAGATAAAAAACAAATTGAATCGTCAAGGCAAGTATGCAGAAAATTTGTGGGACTCATGGTTGAAAGAAAAACAAAGTAAAAAATCGAATCCCGAAACGTATTTCTTTATGGTTACAACAATTCGGTAATGTTACTTACTGTCAAGGTCGGCCACTATGTGTTTAAAATGCGCAAAGTTGAGGACGAGCTACTTCATTTGCAAAAACTGCAATTCTGTATAACTCATAATATAATTGATCATCTTATTAATATTTTTATTTAATTTTATTAATATTTTAGTGCAAAACTTTTTTTTATTTATATTTATTTTTTTATATTGTTTATTGTTATTATTTTGTTATTTCATTAAGTTACAAACTGTAAACAATAAAGAATCAATTTTCCGTAACTCCAAACATGTTATTTTATTTTTTAACGATTAATGCCCTTTGAATTTTAAACATGGCCGACCTTGACTGTAATGGCCAACCTGGACTACAAATTTTTTTTTTTTTAAATCTTTATAACTTTTTCATTTTTAAACCTGTCAATTTACTTTGTACAGAAAAAATGTTCCTATTAAACAGGACTTTCCAACCATATACTTCAATTGTCCAAATTCATTTTTAAAAAAAAGTTATAAACAAAAGTCAAAAAGGTGGCCGACCTAGACTATGTTCCCCTAATATTATGCAAAAGAATGTAAAATGGTTCTTGTTTTTCATTCTTGTAAAATGAAAAAATCAACACAGGTTACTTAAAAAGATTGTAGGAGTTCCAAGTGGTTTTTTAATTAAGGTATACTATTCGTTTTCCTTTTTTTTCTTTTTTTTTAATAAAACAAACTTCTTCACTTTTTCGGTTTCATTAAACGAGTGTAATTTATTCCTAGTGAAGAGTGTATATGAATTTTTGAAAAAAAATTATTATTTCTTCTTGCAGTGCTACGAGGTTTATTTTTTAATTTTTAAACAAATATTTATTTTATTTTAATCTAATTTTCTGGAAAATTATTTTATTTACTCCTCTTTTGAGTAAAAATATTTCTGTTTTTGAAATTCTAATTTTATTTACATCATTTAATTGTATTTTTTCCCTAAAGTTCTAAATTAATTTATTTCTTCTTCAAATTATTTTTTTGTACGTAAAATTCTAATTCTATTTTTTTCTTTAATTAGAAATATTTCTGTCCCTGAAGCTATAAATACCTCTACATTTTTTGTCCCTAAAGTTCTAAATTAATTTATTTCTCTTTCAAAATTATTTTTTTGTCCCTAAATTTTTAATTCCATTTTTGTCTTTAATTAAAAATATTTCTGTCCCTGAAGTTATAAATACCTCTACATTTTTTGTCCCTAAAGTTATAAATTACTTTACTTTTTCTTCAAATTATTTTATTGTCCCTAAGTTTCTATTTATTTCTTCTTCAAAATTAAATTTTTTTTTTAAATTAAAAAAAAATTAAAAATTTATAATTACATTTTTTTTATTAATTATAATTATTTCTGTCCCTGAAGTTACAAAAACTAATAAATTTTTTGTCCCTAAAGTTCTAAATTAATTTTTATTTCTTCTTCAAATTATTTTATTGTCCCTAAAGTTTATAATTATTTCTTCTTCAAAATTAAAATTTTTTTAATTCAAAAAATTCTAATTCTATTTTTTTCTTTAATTAGAAATATTTCTGTCCCTGAAGTTATAAATACTTCTAAATTTTTTGTCCCTAAAGTTCTAAATTAATTTATTTCTCTTTCAAATTTTTTGTTTGTCCCTGAAGTTATAAATACTTCCAACTTTTTGTCCCTAAAGTTCTAAATTAATTTTTATTTCTTCTTCAAATTATTTCATTGTCCCTAAAGTTTCAAATTATTTCTTCTTAAAAATAAAAATTTTTTTATTCAAAAAATTCTAATTCTATTTTTTTTTAATTAGAAATATTTTTGTCCCTGAAGTTATAAATACTTCCAACTTTTTGTCCATAAAGTTCTAAATTAATTTACTTCGTCTACAACTTTGAATTTTTTGTTCTGATTTTAATATTTTTTTCTTTAAATCATAATTTTTTTATCCCTAAATTAATAATTTTATTTATTTCTTCTTTGGATTAGAAATATTTCTGTCGATAAAGTTCTAATTTTATTTAGTTCATTCTAAAATTCTTTTTATTCTATTATTCCATTCTTTTCATCTTATTTATTTCTCTTTTTCTGCATAAACATTTTATTCACGTTCAAAACTTTCGTATTATAAATTTTATTAAAAATAATATTGCGTCACGTACCAAGAAATAAGTTTTAAAAATTTCTGAATGTTTAATATTTACTTTTTTTATTCTTTTTTTATTGCAGTCAGAGGGAATACAAATTTCGACAATGAAAATACTTTTTTCAAAATTGCTGACCGCAATTTAAAAATAAAAAACGTACTTTTTGTTAGTAATATTGTAAAATTATTTTTTAATCCATCATTCAAATTTCAAAAATAAGTTCACAATTTGGAAAATAAATTAATAACAATCCTTGCATTTTTTCTTTAATTTTCTTTTTACTAGTATTTGATAAATAAAAAGAACATATTTTTTTCGAATAAAAGAATCAATAATAATAACTAAAAATAAAAAATATTTTCTTTTTTCTCGATCTGATTTAAATTTTACTCACCGAAGACCGAATGTTTTATGACAAATAATTATCGTCACCTTATGCAAAGGCCACGCCCACTTTCACTCTTTCGATTGGCTGATTTTTCAAGGTTACAAAACGACCAATCGCCGTCTCGTGACCTTGAAAACGAGCCAATCGAATACTTTGGAGTTGTATATAGGCGTTTCTACTTACATTCACAGTTTTTTTTTCCTCACATCGATTATGTACGATTAAAAATCGAATTTCCATGCGGATAATTAATAATTCCATGGACCATTTGTAATAATATCGGCGAAAAAACGAAAATTTACTTACCAGAAACGCATTGATAATGAGCCTCGAGGTATTTAAGGGTGTTAGGACACGGATCTCCGAACTGTAAAGTCGATGCCATGATACTGCAATTCTGCTGTTGATTACACCTGTTCGAAAGATTGCCAATACGGAACAATTTAATTATCGAGAAAAAAATTTATAACGTTTATTTGCACGTGTACTGCCATTGATGAGGTTTTTCTTTTGTCTTGGAATTTTTTTTTCGGTTGTTGGCCAGAAGGCAAGTCACGACTTTTGTTGAGTATTTTCTCTCTAACTGTTTCTCTCTCTCTCTTTATTTTTTTCTTTCTCTCTCTCTCTCTCTCTCTCGCGATAAACGCGATCGGCAAGAAGACGAGTGTATATAGACGCACACTCGACTTGCCGATCGCGTTTAATTTTAATCAAGTCGATGAAAAGTCAGTCCATCGAGGATAGTAGGTGCGCACCCTCTATCATTCGGACCCGAGAATGGACTTGGCAGAAACTTGGGAACGAGAGAAGGAAACTGTCTAACCAACCCTTGAAAGATCGGGGACGTCCGAGTGACGAAGGATCGTTTGAAAAGCGGTCCACGTATCGACGCTCAGCCTACCGTAAACCGTGGTTATTATCATTGCCTTCAGGGAGAGTCGTGGGAGCTATATTTCTCTCTCTCTCTCTCCCTCCCTCGCTCGCTCGCTCTCCCATTTTGTCGATTGATTTCCTGCCGTAGGGGCATCCGACGATGAGTGCCCATTTCAAACGCCATATTACTGCGAATAACTCGCTACATCGTAATCAGGATTTCTCGAGCAAACCAGAAATTTCAAGTTTCACTCCATTTCTCTCACCTCGTTTTTTATATTTATTTTTTTTTTCATGTCGACCCGTAAATTTCACCCTTTTTGCGCGATATTTTTCTCTTTCTTTTTTTTTCTTTTACTTCTTGCAAAACTGTTGTTTTTTAATCATTATTTGCAATTATCTAATTTATTATTTGTTTTATTTTTTTTGTGAATATTAGGAACTGAATTAAAAGATCTTCATAGTAGATGATGAATAATAACTGATCAATTTTCGAAAGAGGATAATTAATTAAAAGTTGGTATAAATAAATAAAATTATTATTGATAATAAATAATAATTATTATTTGCCAATTATTTACAAATTATTTATTCAATATTAATAATTATTATTTACTCATTATTTGCAAATTTTTTTATTTATTATTAATATTAATAATTACTTCATAATTGTTTGCAAATTATATATTCATGACTAACATTGTAATTAAATGATATTGAAAATATTTATTAAATAAACGTAAATAAATTAATATTACGGATTATAGAATATTAATTATAAAACAATTTATTTCTATCTGGGAAGAAATTTTAATTCCCACAAAAACTGTTGAAATAATTATTTGCAAATATATTTATTTGTATTAGAAAATAATCGAAATATTAATAATATTTATTATTAAGGTCCTTTATTAGGACCTTTATTATTAAGGTCTACAAATAAATATGTAAGTAATTTATTATTATAAATTATAAAATAATTTACTACCACTTGGACGTAAACTTTTTTATTTTTTTGAAAAACTGTTCAATAATTAATTAATATTTTTTTTTGAAAAATAATATTAATATTGAGTAGGTAGTAATGTAAATTAATAAATTATTTATTAAATAATAATTTATTTACATTTTGTATTAAATCGAAACCTTTTGAATTTAATAATTATTTCCAGGGGTATCTTTTTCCTCTATTTTTTGTTTCGTATTTTTTCATTTCTTTCATATTTTTTTGTTTTTTTTATTACTTTTTCGTTTTTTATTACTTTTTTCGTTTTTTTAATTACCCTTTTCGTTTTTTAATCACCTTTTTTGTTTTTTAATTACCTTGGTTGTCTTTTTAATTTCTTTTTTGTTATGGTTATATTTTTTTGTTTTCATTTCTTTTGTTTCTTTCCATTATTTTCTTTTTTTCAATTATTTTTATTTATTTACCTAATAATTAATTTATTTACCTATTAATTAATTTATTTACCTATTAATTAATTTATTTACCTATTAATTAATTTATTTACCTAATAATTAATTAATTTACCTATTAATTAATTTATTTACGTAATAATTAATTTATTTACCTATTAATTAATTTATTTACCTATTAATTAATTTATTTACCTATTAATTAATTTATATACCTATTAATTAATTAATTTACCTATTAATTAATTAAATTTATTTTAAAGGTACATCTACATATTTGGAATTTTTTTTTTTATTATTTTTAATTGTTTTACTTTTTTTTATTGTTTTTTTTTGTATTGCATTATTTTTCTGTTTTTTGTATTAAATGAAGGAACATAAACCAACCTAGACAGTGATATTGCACCTCGATGTATTTTCCTGTCCCGGGACATGGGTCCTCCTCGAAAACATCGCTCCTTACTTCCACTGTACAAAACCGGTGCCCGTTGCACCTGCGACCGCAACGTGAAAAAGAAATACATTCCCCATGAAATCTCCGGATTTTTTTTCAGAATTCTATTTCAGCGTGGAATGATACAGTAATAAATCTCGCGTGACAAGAACAAAAAAAAAAAAAAAAGAAAGAAAAAGCTTTCAACAAAACGCGGAAAAAAAATTGCCATTTTCCCCGGACTTAATTTATTGCATTCTGTATAATGGTACTATTTGGAAAACTCTATTTTCTCAGTTTATTTTTTTGTTTTAAATTTTTATAGTTTGGAAAATATTTTCTTAGTTTTTTTTTACTTTTGGGTTTAAAAATTATTTTTTTATTTTTAATAAATGTTTAGCCCTTTTTTTCTTTTTGGATAATTTTTATTTTTGGGAAATATACACTCAGTTTTTTATTTGAAGTTAAAAAATATTTTCTGAAATTATTTTTTAAAATTTTGGAACTGAAAAAAGTTTACGTTTAAACATTTTTAGTGTGAACAATATTTTTCTGTTTTGTTTATTTTAATTTTTAGTGTAAGAAATATTTTCTTAATTTACAGGATTTTTAATTCAAGAAATATTTTATTTTTTATACTTTTTAGTTCAAAAATTATTTTGTTCTTTTAATTTTCAATTCAAAAATTATTTTATTCTCCTAATTTTTAGTTCAAAAATTATTTTTCTACACTTTATTCGTAAAGAAAAATTTATTTAAAAAAAAGTATTTTAACTGTCACGGAAAACTTTTATATTTCCTTTTATTCTTTATTTGTATTTTTTTTACTGTTAAAAAAATATAGTGGATAATAAAAAAAATATAATAATATCGAGTTACTGGGAATAATTTAAGCGAAACTCCCGTGAAAATCTTTTTATGATTCAATCTTTGCGGACGGCAGGTTTTAAAATTATATTATTGCATTGCAGTTATACATAGCGACTTGAAAGTTTTGTCTTCATTAAAGAAATAATCGTCGTAATTCGACTTTGTCTTTGAGAAGCGTGACATAAAGGATTAACAATAGGACTTGAGGTTAGCAACAGTGGGTGATAATAACAGTTTGAGACAAAAGCACAGCTAGACATTTGAAACAAGTAGCCAATTTTGAATTTCGAAACGAATCCCAACATTTTATTTATGTAGAAAAATAAAATTTTATAGAAAAAAATTTTTATATAGAGAAAAAAAGATTTATATGCGGTGAAAAAAAATATAAAGAGAAAAAAATTTTATTTAAGAGAAAAGAATTGTGTTTCTTTTGAAGAATAAAAAAAACTTGCGTGAAATTAGATTTTAGAGTGCGAGATAATTTTTTCGTTAGTAGAAAGTTATTAAAAAGAATATTGTAATAAAAATATTATTAATATTTATCAATTATTATTAATAATTAATAGTAATTAAATAAAAAATAATTAATTAAATATAATTATAATTTAATATAAATAATAATATCGTTAATTATAATTACTATTAATTAATTAATTTTAATATGAATTATAATTCTATTAATTAGTAATAATTATCATAATAATATTTATGAAGTGCTTAATTAACTGTAAATTATTATTAATATTATTTTGTATTTTAAAAAAAAAGCAGAAGTAAAGCGTCTGTTACAGATTAGCTAAAATTTCAAGTAAGTGATTAAATTCGAGTTTAATTTTGTTTTCGAATTTCAATATAAGTACGCAAATACCGCATGTGTGTACATTGAGGGATTTGCATTTCTGGCAATGAAAGGTTTACCGTTGAAGGGTGAGTTATATTCATAAAGCAAAAACATTACCCATTCCTATATTTCCCATATAAATAGGATGTGAATGATTAAAACTGTCATATTTCAAAATCAAACACAAAGATTTACTTTACATTTTTTTCGCTACTTTTTTTTCCACATTCACGTTTATTCATTCATTTAGTTTTTCTTTTTTATTTTGCTCAACGTCAATTTTGAAAATTGTATATTTCGCACGAATTATTATCATTTTATTTCGAAAGTAGAAAAAATATTTTTGTAAACAGTTGACGGATTTTTATTGATTTTATGTGTAAATATATGTATAAGCACCCCTCGCATTTTGCAAGTGCATTTCCCTAACCCTTTTCATGTCTGGCAGGAAAAAGAGGAGAGAAAAACAAATTTGTAAACACCGGACGTTAATATTCGTACTTAATTATTTTTTTTTTCCCGAAAAAGAAATGTTAAATATAGTAATTAGGAAGTTTTATTAATTTTTTTAATCGCTTTGTATCGATTTTGCATTTTTTTTTTGCAATTCGTATTCGTATATTATTTTTTACTAAAAAAGTGTATAGAATAAGTGGGAAATTATCTGTTAATTAATTTTTTTAATATCTTCGCATTTTTAAAATTTTTTTTCTTCAACTTTTCATATTTATTTATTTAATTATTTATTGTAAAAGTAAACGAGATTTACCCTCTTTTTTATATAAAAAATAATTTTTTTCAAAAGTAATTAAATCCTTTAGGAAACAAAATCGTAAAGTGAAATATTTAATAATAATTTCAAATATAGAAAATATTTTAATTCATAAAATTTGATTTATTTTAATAAATAATAATGAAAATATTTATTCATTATTTTTATAACAAAATATTTTAATTAAAGTGTTTATAAAATATAA